GAACTCAAGAAGTATAATCCATCAGTGCATTCTGAGTCATTTAGACTCAGGACACAGATAAACGGTCTCAAAGGATGCTTATGGTTCTAGAGTTACCACTAGTGACTATAAACTAGGTGACTATAAACTTTAGTACTGGATAATCTTATAATTTCTAGTCCTAGTCGATATTTTTTAAAAGTCTGCTAATTTCTAAAGCCTCTCTTCATTGGCATTGTTAGCAGTAGAAATAATTCCTTTCTTCTACTAAACTCTAAAGATCCAGAGTATTTGCAGTCAGTTCTTTTTGACTATTGCTTACAACCAATTTTAAGTGGTTACTTCTTTCTTTTCCTTTGAATGATCTCATTCTGTCTGCAGACCTAGTTCTGATAATCTAGAAACTGTAACCATTCTGCCTTTAATGTGACACATAACTTTTCTGAAAGTGCTGTACTCAAGTGTCAATACACTGGGCCAGCAAGTCCCAAGGGCAGACAGGGTGTTTCACTGAGAGTGGTTTTTTAACTTATCAAGTTCATTTATGCTTTTATCCAAAAGTCTGTTTCCTACCATTATGTAATGTATTTTGGAAATCAGACTGAGCCCCCAAACTTGTGTAAATCAGACAAATACAGCTCTCCGGTCCACCAACCAGTCCTCAGACCCAGCCCCCACCTCTTGATGAAATTAAAGACACTATTTATGCTGTAACTACCAAAGTTTAATGATTATTATGTTTAACTAGAAAGTATTAGCTCTGAAGTATTAAAAAATTAATGGATTAATGGTTAATATGTATTACCATAAAAATGTTTCAGCTTGAGCCGGGCGGTGGTGGTGCACGCCTTTAATCCCAGCACTTGGGAGGCAGAGGCAGACGGATTTCTGAGTTCAAGGCCAGCCTGGTCTACAGAGTGAGTTTCAGGACAGCCAGGGCTACACAGAGAAACCCTGGCTCCAAAAAAAAAAAAAAAAAGGTTTCGGTTTACAAAAAAAAAAAATTACAAACCCACAGCAAAATTGTTTTTCCTGGGGGGGGGGGGGTGGGGGAGAAATGGGGTAAGGGGATAACATATGAAATGTAAATAAAACATCCAATTTAAAAAATGAGGTTTATATTAAAATTTGGGAAATGACACTGAAAAAAATTGTTTTCCAAGTACATTTACTTGATAAATTTTTCCTTTATTTTTGATTCTAATACATTCTTTCTTGCCCCAAAAAAATACTTACTCACTAGTGTTTTTCTCCCAGTACACTCTGTACAATTTTTTAACATCTTCAAAAGCAAACATATCAGCTGGGGACATGGTTTAGTGACTGGGCACTTGTTTAGCACTGATCAACTTGCTTAGAACTGATCAATGGTCTGAATTTGCCTCCCAGCACCACAGAGTAAAAAGAAAAGAAGGCGCACATACTATTAATCACACACACACACACCCCAAAAATCCTCATTAAATTAAATTTTATTAGACACCTCACACATTCACCTCTAAATTCAATTAGGTGATTACCAGACTGAAGATTTTTTAAATGAAAAATGAGTAACAATATCCTAAGTCTAAACATTTCTATAAATCTCTCTCAAGTTAAATTTGTTAAAATAAACAAATATACAAAATATTCTTTTGGCTTACCTGAGGAGGTCAGAATTCTTCTTTTATATTTAGTCTGATCAAAATTTGAAAGCTCACGCTGGGTTCAGGGGGAGGAAGATACACTTAAGTTAAAATAATATATATTCTCTTAAAATACTTTTCCACAATTACAAAGGTTAACATGGACAAACCTAGGAGACAAACCACCCAAACCAACGTCAGCATCACTAACTAGACAGGCAAACAGCTTGTACCTGTTGACTCATCAGAGCAGCCCACACACCAGTCATGTCATTTTCCTGCCAAAAATACAAAACCAAAATCAAATCAAAAGAGAAACTCAAACTGAAAGACATTCTAATACACATCTTACACCTTGTGCAAGCACCAATGTTACAAGAAACCAGGTGTGGACATCTGTTGTAGATTAAAGGCCACAACAGACAATCAAATGTAATGTTCAGATCCCAGGTAGTATCTTTACCAGGGCATGCTTTCTACAAAAGGTTATAATTGGGGTAATCTGTATACAAACTATACATTATCCTGTATTATTGTCCCAATACTAAATGTCTTGGAAAATATCAGTAAGGCTTTAAAAGAAAATGCGCTTCACAGGAAAAGCAAACTAGAGGAGTACATGTTGCAGTCTCAATTATGGTTATGCGAGGATAGAATGAATTTGTGTCATGCTCACAGGAACATTGAGAAATAATATTTCTCAAGAAGGGGTTCTGGAATGCCAGCAAATGTGGGAAGGAACAGAGGCATACCTGTGACCTTCCTCAACTTCTGAATAAGTTAGGGTAAATGTTCCCATACCTCAGATGGTTTTTTGAAGACAACACTGTTGTGCTTTACATAACCTTGAACATGATGGGTTGTCAAGCAGGCTTCTCAACTGAACTGTAAACGCCTGTTATCAAAGGAGGGTGATGATTTAAAAACAAAAACAAAAACAAACAAAAAAAAACGGGCCCCGTCGTGCAAACTGAGGTCTGCAATTGGTTTCCCGCTTCTGTTCTTCCAGGATTCATCGAAGATGTGATCTGGCCAACCTCTCACAGGATATTAGCAAATGACCTCAGTGGGGATCCCAGCCTCAAAAATGGCAAGACCCTCCTGAAGAATGGCGCCCTCAAGGGAGGACTACAAGAATGCACATCGCCACAACTTTTCTCTAAGTTTGCAATTACTTTGGAGTAAGATGCTTTCCCGAAGGAACTACAGGGTCTTCTGTGCCTGCTGCACTCCGGTCACCGCCAGCACTGGTTACCAGGACCAAAGCCACGGCCCGTCCATCTAGGCGGTTTCTCTGAGGGCGCTCTCCGGTGAGCCTCCCCGAGGAAGGCAGGGCGGGAGCCCTCCCGCAGCCGCCCAGCAGAGCCCACCGCGGCTTCGACCCATCTCACCTCCGCGAAGCATCTTCCCGCCAGGCCGTAGCGGCTTTTGAGACGCTCCACTACCATGTCCTGCCCCGGTGGCTTGACCACCCTGCGCTCCATGGTGGGTCGCAGACCGCGGTCGCCCGGGAAACCGCGCTCACAGCCGCGACAGGGCGGGCAGTACGTAATGACGCCCGGCCCCGCCCCCACGGACGCTGGAAGCTGGTACAGGGAGGACACACTACAACCCAGTTCCCTGTTGCCCCTTCTAGAGTCTCAGTTCCAAGTCTTTTCCCGCCCTAAATGATGCGAGGCGTGAAAAGGGGGGCGTTCCATCTTCCCTTGAGAGCGCTGGCTCGGCCAGCAGGAAGGCGAACAACTTCTGCACACCGGAGGGTCAGATTGCTCCCCAGGGCCGGGGACCACAGGGTAAGACTATTTACTGTGCATTAGAATTTGCCTACACAAGTCTCATCAAAAGTGATTTACAATCACAGAAAAATCAGGACATGTCTGAACGCTAAGCACATGAACTGCAGATTACTCCTTTGCCTGTTTCCATAGGTGATACAAGCTCGTACTTGTTCAGTTTTTCTGAGATACATTTACACTGAGAAATACTGTAAATAGGCATGTGTTGTAGCAATCCTAAATCTCTGGATTACTTTTAACTTACAGAAGTTGATATTTTAGCAATAGACAGAAAATTTCAGTATCAAAAAATTGCTTACAGAATACTTTTTGCTAAAAAACTACCATCTAAACTGAATAATTGTTTTATTTTGGTTCTTTGGGGGTAGATTTTAATGAGCATAAAACCTATCAATGTGAGTTTACAGCATTATCAGTGAATAAACAATAGATTACATTGTTCTTAATTATCAAGCATCTTATAAAATGCCACAAGCTTCTTTTTAAACGTCTTTGTTGGAGCTGGATAGTTCAGCCATTAAGAACGTTGTCTACTTTTCCCCGGGGAGCTGAGTTCCATTCCTAGCACCCAAATGGTGGCTCACAACCTTTGGTAACTCATCAAGTTGTAAACATCTATACTATAAATAAACAGCAATAGTTTAACGTGCCATTTTGTCACGTTTTTGAAAAGTCTTTAATAATCTTAATGGTTTGAAATATGTCTCTTAAAAAGCATTTGAAACCACGGCACATGCCTGTAACCACAGTGGAGATCAATAATTCAAGTCCAACCTCAGCTACAAGTTCAAGGCAATCCTGGAGTATAGGAGATGAATTAAAAAATTAAAAACATTCCATTTAGATTAAAAATATGGCATCAACTTCTCAGCTGGAAAGCTTCAGTCCTTTTACATGAATGTATATTACACAGGTTTCCCAGGAAGCCACTGAATGTACATGGTTCTTTTTACAAGGCCAACTTGTGGTAGGTTTATTACATGTACCTGGTTGCAGGATTAAATATTTTTATAGGGATGCTATTTGCATAAATTCATTAAGTAAGCCATAACCTGCCTTGCCTAATCTAATGGTTGGACACAAGAAAACAGAAATGACTCAATACTTACATTTGGATTATAGAGAATTTTATGGTCTAACTAGATTCCTTTTAGTTCTATATTGAGTAGGCCCATAAGAACATCCCCTTCTGTTTGCCTAACTTAACACAAACCATATCCAACTACATTTTCAGTGTTTATCAAACTCTTGATGTTTAAGTTCCAGCTCAGAGTGTGCTGGCCTTTAACTGATCTCATTGGCCAGACTAGAGTCAAGCTCAACAGAGTCTTCCTTCCCGGCTGACTCCCCTAAGCCAGTTCCCTTGGCTGTGATTTCGCTGGGTAATAGGCAGGGTCAGTGGGGATCTCGTTCATCCATTCCTGCGCGTCACTAATAGATGACGAGGCACTTGGCTACCTTAGGAGAGTCAGTTACCCCCGCCGTTTACCCGCTTCACTTAATTCCTTCACTCTGACATTCAAAGCACTGGGCAGAAATCACATCTAGTCACAGAAGGAACAGACAACTTAGATGCACAAGTAATGAAATGTTTTAAATGTCATGGCTGTTATCAATTGTCACTTTATTTCTGCTACAAAATTCACCAGAAAAAGGTACTGCAACAATCTAATATAAAGCAAATCTTTAACCAAAGAACATGGTATAGATCTTTTAAAAATATTGATACTTTATCACAAGAACTAGAGAAAAATTCAATTCTATCATCAGGACCAAGCTGAAGTTTCTGAGGTAGTAGAGATAGGAAACAGAAAAGTGAATGGAAAGAAGGAAGAAAGAAAGAAAAGAAAGGAGAAGGATGGGGGAGGAGGAAGAAGAGAAAGCTAACTAAGGAAATGATCAACTTATTTAAAATGTAAAAATTAATGTCTTCGAAAGAGCACGATATATCTTAAGAAAAGACAATATCCTACTTAAAAGTTAATTTTTAACTATACAGGAGCATAAAAATTACAGAAGAGCACTTTGGTTAACTCCTATCTTCTGTGGCTCTATCCATTCATAAGTAAGTATACATAAATGAGCACAGGAATAGCTAAGATTACTATATATATGTATTTCAAATTTAAAATAAAATTATCTGCATTGTGGTCCCCTTATTCAATAGTAAGTACCATGCAGGAAGTCCAGATATCTTAACAGGAATTAAAATAAGATTGCATATATCATATTCCTTCAATAGTCTGGGAAATTCTATTGCTTTTAACAAAATTAGTATTTGCCATTCTAATACAGATATGTCAGGAGTACATAAAAATAAGTACACCTGAAATACACCAGTGTTTAAACTTTTATTTGACACCATGCAAGATCAATTATTACACACTAAAAAGTGACAACAGCTATAAGCTACAATTTTACATTTATACATTGGAAACATCTGTTTTCAAAAGGTGAACATAATTACTATACTGTCTGTAACAATCAATTCAACTGTTTATATAGATAAAACTCACTGTGAAAAATTTTATAGCTGTCCACATTCTGTGATACAAATTCTTCTACTAACAGACCCTTTAGGAGAACCAAATGATTCAATCTTTTTCACAGTATCCATGCCATCCTTAACACACCCAAATACTACGTGCTTAAAGTCCAAATGTTCTGCTTTCTTCAGTGTTATAAAAAATTGAGAACTGTTGGTATCCCGGCCGCAATTGGCCATGGATAGTAGGCCAGGACCAGTGTGCTTCAAATCAAAGTTTTCATCCTCAAATTTATCTCCATAAATGGACAGTCCGCCTGTTCCATTGTATTTGGTAATATCTCCCCCCTGAAGACCAAAAAAAAAAAAAAAAAAAAAAGAAATCCATTAGTACTAAACATTAAAACACACAGAAATCAGAGTAAATCACAAATGCTTTAACTCTTTAAGAATACTTTTGACAGCCAGGCAGTGGTTGTATATGCCTTTAATCCCAGCACCCAGAAGGCAGAGAAAGGTAGAAAGTTTGAAGCCAGCCTGGTCTACAGAGTGAGCTTCAGGACAGCTAGCAGTACACAACATAGAGAAATCCTGTCTCAAAAAGAAAATTTAAGAAATTTGAAAACTAAGTAAGACAAGTTTTGTTGTTTTGAGTGAGGAGGTAAGGGTCGGGGTCCCTCGAGTCTCTAGCAGGTACAAAGCATTACAAGTGTGGACCCTTTCAGACTCAACTTTTGAAAGGCAATCAAGCGCCCAGTCATGGTATGGGAAAACTGAAAATTCCCAAGATAAGGATGAGGGGAAGAAGAAATAGCTTCCCAAGTTGGTGTGGTCTAGTTTTAGCAGATATAACCATGATGAATGTACAGTGACACTTACTTGGCAAATAAAATCTGGAACTATTCGGTGAAAAATGGAGTTCTTATAACCAAAGCCCTTCTCTCCAGTGCATAATGCTCTGAAGTTCTCAGCAGTTTGAGGAACGATATTTGAAAATAATTCCATGATTATCCGTCCTAGAGGTTCACCATCCGCACAAACATCAAAGAACACCACAGGATTGGTCTCCTTTGATAACTCTGCTGCAAGGGATGTTTGTCCATTCTGGAGTTTCATTATATTTTGTTGACATTCTTCAAATTTTTTCTTAAAACTATCAGTCATTTCCTTTGTCTTAAATCTCACTGCAAGCTGTTCTACTTTTGCTTCTCCATCTGTTAAAAACGGGTGGGAGTGGGAAGACCTTAATATTAAAGTTACTTACAAAGCATGTGTATGTTAGACTTCAGAAAAGTCAATCAAATTAAAAGGCATTTGAAAGTAGAAACTCACCAGCATAATCTGAGGCAGTCCAAACTAAAGCATTGTTTGAAACATTTAAAGGTTTTAATTCCATGGCTTTGGTAATAACATGGTTTGCACACACTTTAAAAACCTGGTCTCTTCTCATTAGGATCCGATAATAATTCTTCATTGTATGCCAGAGAATCTTTATATCTCCAATACCTCTCTCCTTCCACTGACTGACATCTCGATCCCATCTATAAAGTTTGGCTCTCTCTTTGAACAAAACTTCTTCATCTTCCTCTCCAGATTTCACCTCTACCTATAACAACAGATGAGAATAATTTATATAAACAGCTAGTTATAACAAATCCCATTAACCAGAGCCAGCAGGTTTTACTGTATCATGGTATCTAACTCATACCCTATACTAGTAATAGATCTGGGTTGGTTAAGCAGTAAGTAAAGACGTAATTTATCATTAAATATTTCATTTATCTCTGTGAAAGAAAATGACTTTAAAGGTCAAAAGAGGTTTCAAAAATGCTGGTTCTTGCCAAGCATGGCAATATACACCAATAATCCCAACATTTGGAGTGTGGAAGCAAGAGGATCAGTTCAAGGTCAGCCTGGGCTGTATGAGACCAGAAGGAATGTGGATGCACAGTAATCCCAGCATTCCAGAGTCTGGGAGGCCAGAAGATAACTACAGTTTTGAGGCCACTCTGAGCTAGTACTATGTAACAATATGCTGTCTCAAAAACTAATGTCCCACCCAAAAGTGCTCTGTTTTATAACATTCTATGTATATGGCTGTTTTGCCTCCATATGTATCTATGCACTGAATTCCTCCATTGCCCCTGATGCCAAAAGAGGGTATCAGATCCCCTGGAAGCAGAGTTACATACAGGCAGTGGTTAACTACCATGTGAGTACTGCGAATTAGGTACTGAGCTATTGTTCCAACCCTTTTTATTTTTATTTTTTAAAGATGTACTTTATTTTTAGTTTTATGTATGTATGAGTCCATATGTGAGTATATGCATATGAATGAAGATAACTAGAGAAGCCGAAGGCACTGGCTCTCCCTGGAGCCAGAGTTACAGGCAGCTGTGAGCCGGCTGACGCGGATGCTGGGAACCATCAAGAACAGTACAAACATCACCTCTTAGCAGATCGCTCCAGCCACAGCAGTGATTCTTGCAGTGTGACAATAACTGACACTGAAAATGGACATGATAATTTTCTAAAAACAACAGTCTTCTCTATTTCATCCCTAAAATTATTTTTAATGAAGATAAATATGATCTCCTAATGACATAACAAATGCCTATGGCTGAGCAAGATGGCCAATGAGTAAACATGCTTGCTAGCTACACAATCCTAAAAACTCGAGTTCAAGCCCTAGAAAGCTGTCCTCTGCCCTCCATATAACACCATGGCATGTGCATACCTGCTGTGTTCTCTCATACTCTCTGTGGTATGTGCCTAGCCACTTCTTTCCTCCCCCTCACCCAACTCTCTAAATGCACACAAGGAAAAGCTGAGTGGGCACCAAGCAGTAACGTGCTTGTTAACATGAGATTCTATTCCCAGCACTACATCCAAAAAAAAAAAAAAAAATCAAAACAATTCCTACGAAAAGGCTGGAAATCTGGGCTGGAGATATGGTTTAGCAGTTAATGGCACTGGCTGCTCTTCCAGAGGACCTGGGTTCAATTCTCAGCACCCACATGGCAGCTCACAACCATCTGTAACACCATCTGTATGTAACTCCAGTCCAAAAGGAAATGACAGCCTCAGAGGATATAACCATAGGCACACACATGGTACACAGACATGCATGTAGGCAAAAAACTCATGCACATAAAATATATAATTTTTTAAAAATTTGGAAATATAACAAATAGCACATAATATTTAACTGTTCTGGGAAAAATGTAGATAGCACTGTTTTAAAAAAAAAAAATCAATTCAGGCCATATTTTTGCATGTCATCACTAGCCAAGTGTTTACTTCCTGGCACTTACCTCTGGTAAGGAGACTATAGGTTCAAAGTGGATGTCCTCATTATGAACGACGTCTTCATCACTGCCGTCTTCCTCCTCGCCACCTTTACTTGTTGGCTGTGTTCCAAACACAGCTGCTCCAGTATTTGCCCACTGGAAATTTTTATCTGATAAAGAAATTAGGCTATTTAAACAGTGAACTCTCAATTTTTTGTTTGTTTGTTTTGTTTTTTGAGACAGGGTTTCTCTGTGTAGCCCTGGCTGTCCCGGAACTCACTCTGTAGACCAGGCTGGCCTCGAACTCAGAAATCCACCTGCCTCTGCCTCCCAAGTGCTGGGATTAAAGGTGTGAGCCACCACTGCCCGGCTCAAATTTTTATAAAAAAGAATTTGCATTTTGTAGATTACTTTTTAATGATGAAATACATTGGTACATGTAATTTTCAACAATGTCATAAACATATCTATTTGAGGTATTTAAATAATATTATTCTGGCTATTTCAACAACTATGGAATACAATTGATTGCAGTGTAAATACTACTTTAAGAAAGAAAAGAGCCAGACTGAGTGGCGAATTCCTTTAATACTAACCCAAGAAACAGAGGCAGGTGGATGTCTGTGACTTCAAGGCTAGCCTAGTCTATACAGTGAGTTCCTACAGCCAGAGCTACTATAGTGAGACTCTGTCTCAGAACACCAAAATAGAAGAAAACAGAAAAAGTGCAAACTAATGTAAGGATTCAACACAAAAGAAAACAAATACATTGAAGAAAATAAAATATTAGCAAAACGGAGAACTAGTAAAGCCAAAATCTACTTTTGGCTTCATATTTCCTTTATTAACGAAACAAACAAGCCAAGAAAATGTGAAGAGAGGGTGCAGTGATAATATTCACTAAGACAGGTCTTACCTGATTTTTAAGTTCTATCTCTTACTTAGTGTACAATACTGATAATAAGCAATCACTATCAATTTTCATTTGGCTTTTTCAGGGGGATAAGTATACCTACTGAACTGGTAGATTTACTCACTACCCATCTTTTAATTTAAGAGCTTGGTATCACCTTTAATTCCAGCATTCAAGAGGCAGAAAGAGATCGAGCTCTGTCAGTTGAAGGTCAGTCTACTCACACTGAGAGTTCCAGCCTGGTAAGTACACACAGTAAGACCCTGTCTCAAAAGTCAGTAACTTGGCATAAGTAAAACTATGAATTTTTATCAATCATTTCTTGTTTTGGTTTATTTTTTGTTTTTGTTTTTGTTTTGTTTTGAGACAAGGTCTCACTATATAGCCCTAGCCATCCTGGAACTTACTCTGTAGACCAAGCTAGACTTGGACTCAGAGAGCCTTCAAGAGTTCAGGGCCTGAAGGTGTGCACCAGCACTGTCTAGCCCTATCAATCATTTCTAAAAGTTTAATGTGTCTCTGTAAGTAGCAAGAACTTTAAAATGTATAAAGTTCTAAGTAGGACTAAATGGGCTAAAGTCTTAAATTGTATTACTTCACCATTCTATAATTTCTCCAAATACCTTATAGAATAATTTAAATTGTGCTATATTCACAATATGAAAGATCTTATGAGTAAATACAATGAAGTCTAATGATGATAAAACTTGAAACAAATAGCATGTGCATGGCAGCTCATAACCATCTTTAACTCTAGTTCCAGAGGATTTGCCCCCTAAGGGCACTGCATACATGTGGTAGAAATATGTATATGCAACAGAAACACACAAATAAATGAATCTTAAAAATATAAACACCACTGTATAAAAATTATAAACACCACTGATAAATGAGAAAGAACACCAATTTGTAAATTTCCACAGCCCTAATGCAGAGATCAAATTTGTCTTAAAACCAAGTCAGGGTTATTCCAAAACTGAAAAACATACATGTATATGAGGAAAGGAAGGGCTATCAGTATTGATTTAAACTAAACTAAGAGAAAACTCTTATAGCTACTATCATCAATGACAGCATGTGCAATGCTAATTACTAATAAACAAACAAACCAAGGACAGGGCCAGTCCACTTAAGTCACACCGTGGGAAGGACTGCTTTGTTCAGTTACACTTGGCTGACACAGATATTAATCTCTTTCCTCTTGATCTTACTTGATTAACCTCTTTCCTCTTGATCTTACCTTTAGGACCAAAAGCAAAATCTCCACAGTTACTTGAAGCCAAGTCTGCAAATGACAAGCCTGTACCACTTCCAAATCCAAACAAAACAGTCTTGCTTTCCCCTGACAAAAGAAAAACACAATTTCCTGTTTGAGGTAGACTATATACCAAAACTTACCCAGGACCCAGAAGGAACAGGACTCTCTGTACTCCAGGTGAGGCAAGGTATAAAATACATTTTTTAAATTTAGTATTTACTCTTCTAAAATGCCTTCAAGTTCAAGCCTAATTTTTTTGAGTTTTTTTTTTTTACAGACTATATAAATTTGTGTGTGTGTGTGTGTGTGTGTGTGTATTATTTATGTATGTGAGTACACCATCGCTGTCTTCAGACACACCAGAAGAGGGCATTGGATTCCATTACAGATGGTTGTGAGCCACCAAGTGGAATTGAACTCAGAACCTCTGGAAGAGCACTTAGTGCTCTTAACCTCTAAGCAATCTCTCCAGCCCCCTACAAACTATATTTTAAGCTACAAAATACATTCAAGTTCAAGTTTACTCAGTAGTATGAAGTTTACAGGTACTATGCCCAATGAACACCAATCCAAAACCTACACCAAATTCACTTTAAACTCACTGACCTACACACTAAGCTACGTTATATAGTTTCTCTTTATCAAGGTTCTTAAACACTCGACCAAGCAGTCAAAGGTATGATCTTAGAAAAAATCTGTACTAAACATTTTTTACAAGATGTATTATTTTTAATTGTGTGTTTCTGCATGTCTGTGAGTGTAAATAAATGCATATGAGTGCGGGCTCCTAGAAAGGAGAGAAGGGGCTGAAGGTGGTATGGGTTAGCTACCTGCCGTGGGTACAAGCAACTCAACGCTGCCAGAACAGTGGGCTTACTAAAGTGTTCTGTGTTCTTTCTGTTTAGACCCTTATCTAAATCCTACTAGTTCATGACCTCTGAAATTACTTTGGCCTACTTCATTTGAAAACAGAGCTTCTGGTTGTACAGTTACTTTTTTGTCCCAGTACATTAAGATTAAATGCCATAAATGTGCTATTTGTGACCTATGTTGGGATTACTTCTGGAAAGGAAAAAAATGGTACTATAGATAATATCCATGTATAAAAAAACGCAATTCACAAAGACACTTCTTCCAACTTAGAAAAACTGAGACACATAGTAATACTAACAGTAATTACTGTAAATGACAAGTTGAGTTTTGTCTGTAGTAAAAATGTAAAAACGTTAAGCTTCGACAGTAATAATCTTTAACACTGTGAATATGTTTGGGTAATATAGTAAATAATAAGTCAATAATAGTCAAGTAAAAATATTATATAACCATGCAAAAAAATTACCATGCAAGCAAATTATTCTCTTTTATGCAGCCAGACCAATCATAAGGCTCTCTACTCTCTAACAGCTTGAAATGGAATGACAGGGCAGGTGTGTTAGTGCATCTTTAATCCTAGCACTTAGGAGGCAAAGGCAGCCAGATCTCTGTGAGTGTGAGGTTAAGTCTGATCTACGGAGTGAGTTCCAGGACAGCCAAGGTTACATAGAAAGACCCTGTGTCTAAAAAATAAAATATAGCAAATGATAAAATGTTACCATTTCATTTATCAAGAAGGTAATGACTTGTTAGATTACTGTGACAAATACATTATGCTCCTATATTCACCTAAACATTTTCAACTAAGTTCTTAGAATATACTCTATTTTTTTTTTCAAACACAGGCAGTATCTTATATATTGCACAATATAAACACATGATCAACTTTTACCTTGGCTTGGGAATTCCACGTCAGTTTCTTTTCTAGTGGACAAATCTACAGGCTTGTCCATAGTCCCAGAAACAGGGGATGAGCTAGTATGTTTGGTATCAGTATCAGGTTCTTCAGACTTACAGCAAACAGGGTTTGTTACTTCAGTTTCACCTATATGCTCAATATCAACTGTATCAGTCACTTTCTCATTCTGGGATTTCTGCAAAGACAGAAAGAATGAAACAGCATTAAATCATTCTCTAAAGCCACCAAAAGAAGTAGGAAAATAGTAGGTAGTTTTTTATAAAGTTTGATGTATGCTTTAAAGACTTATTTATTTTTTATTTATTTATTTTATATGAGTACATTGTAGCTATCTTCAGACACATTGGAAGAAGGCATCAGATCCCATTACAGATGATTATGTGGTTGCTGGGAATTGAACTCAGGACTTCTAGAAGAGCAGCCAGTGCTCTTAATCACTGAGCTATCTCTCCAGCCCCTAGTATGTATTTTATGTCTTTACAGTAACCACTAAAAAGACAGGAAAATTAACAGAAATAAAAATTAGGAAGGGACAGGCAAAATTAAAAATGAACAGTAAACTTAGAACCAACCTACCTCTCTGATTGAATGAATCTCAAACGGTCTAAGCATTAGTAAAAGATTATTCTATCAGGTTTGTCTGGTTTTACTACAGAAAACACCACGATTGGAGAGCTATCTTGGTAGCCATGTTTGCACATCAACTGCAAGGCCCTGCCTGGGGTTTGGTTCCATGGAAAAACACACATAGGAAATTAATATATAAATGAAAGATAAATTTACTCTCCTAAAATGGTAGGATAAGAACCACTTTAAATATTTTTCTCCATAAACAATGAAAACAAAAAGAATGATGACCAAAATAAACTCTTTCGTCTAACTCTGGAAATTAACCAAAACCCACAATAACCTAAGGAATTTTTTTTTTTAATCAAACTATGAACTCAAATTGGGGTGGGGTAAGGGGAGGGCTGGTTTTGTAACACTAAGCTACTCTTAAGTCCTTTTTCTGTCTACCTTGCCCCCAATCTCAGTAGCAGTTTATAAACCAAAGAGCCAGACAACCATGGCAAAAAGATGAATGTCTGCCAGACATCTGGGCATGACAGAGGAAAGGAGGTGACTGACAGAGCACAGCGTATTTTTTATAGCAATTAAATCATTCTATAGGATACTAATCACTACAGCTTTGTAATAATTCATAAAACAACCCATGGAACAATGTAACTATATAAACTAATATAAACTATAAATATACTCATAGACTGTAATTAAAGTAAACCACAAATCACTAACAAAATACTATGTACTACGGACAAAGTCATCATTTTAAATGGCGTAACAACTGTCTTATGCGTAAGTAAAAAAGTAGAGCAAGGAAGTACTTTGACCTTAATAGAAATGACAGCAGCACACATTAAAACTCGTGTGCCAAAATAAAGTTTAAGAGACAATATTATTTGTATAAACAATGCATGTGCTCTTAAACCTGTACTCATGGTTCAACATTAGAGAAACAGAAAAACAGCAAAGTAAACCCAAGGCAAGAAAGACATAATAAAGAACAGAAATCAACAAAATTTAACAAAGAAGGGGATGAAACCAAAATCTGTTTACACCATGGAGGGAAGGAGCCAAGATCCATAAAAAAGGGAAAGGGCAGAAATGGGGAGAGAGGAGCAACATAAGGCAACAGTATAAGACAAATTCATGAAATGGATATACCCTCTACTAGATCAAAACAATAGCAAAAGAGGGTGAGGTACTTCAATAATACTAGCATTAAGAGACTGAAAATGGAAGCCAGATGTAGTAGCAACCACCTGCAATCCCAGCACTCTGAAGATGAGATGAAAAGATCCCAGGAAGGTCAAAGCCAGCCTGTACTTACATTACAGTGAGGTCCTGTCTCCAATATCAAACTTGATTCATAAAAGTTTATTCTACAATTCTACAAATTTAAATTTGAGAATTCCTTCAATGATACAACTAAAACTCACTCAGTAACAAAGAGATTAAATAACCTCAACAGATATTCCAAATAGTGCCTTCCATTTAATTGTTTTCAAGGTCTTAAGAAAACCCAATCCTGGTATGGTTCCTTTACTTAAAACTATCAAACACATACGGGGAAACAACATTAACCAGACAAAATCTCTTTTAGAAAATAGCCTAGTGGTGTGGCAGAGACAGGTGAATCACTGATTAGCCCAGCCTGGTCTACAGAGTGAGTTCCAGGATAGCCACGCCTACACAGAGAACACCCACCTACCCCTAAAAAAGAATATAGTAGCACAGAAAAGTATTTGCCAATTAATTTACTATAGTACCATTAACTTTTTTTTTTAATGGTGGGGTTTCATTATATTGCCATGACTGGCCTAGAATTCAGAGATCTACCGAAACTAAAGATGTGGGCCACTACTTCCAACTCAGAATTAAGTTTTAATTTTTATTTGTATGTATGTGAGAGATTATGCGCAAGTGAGTACCCAAAAGAGGCCAGAAGGAAGGAAAGCATTTGGACCCTGGTGGTGGTGTTGTCAGCTGACTGACATGGGTGCTGTAAACTGAACTCCAGTCCTCTGCAAGAACAGTATACATTTAACCGCTAAGCCATCCATCCAACCCCTGTACTGGCTTTTATGTAGAAGCAAAGAGCATCCATTTTTAAAAACAGCAACAAAATTGAAGTCTTTCCTAGCAATGCCAGAACCATGCACGAACTGCAAAAATCTATATCACTTCAGCAAAGACAGATAGTGAGATGGAACACCATTCAATATTCACTTAGGATTAAAAACTCTTACTCATCAGAGAGCGTAGAACACTCAGTCTTAAACATGATGTCTATAAAAATTCATTCTCGCTGGGCTCAGGGAACCCTATAGAAGAGGAAGCCGGAAAAGTGTTAAGAGCCAGAGGGGATGAAGGACACCAAGAAAACAAGGCCTTCTAAATCAACACACTCAAGACACAGATAAAGTCACAGAGACTGAGGCAGCACAGGCAGGGTCTGCACTATCATCCCTTAGCAGCCTGTTTGTTTTCTAATGAGAGACAAAGCAGATCCAGACAGGAGGAGAGGTATGGAAAAACAGGGAGGGGCTGAAGGAGGGAAAACAGAAAATGGTAATCAGGACATACTGTGTAAGAAAAAAGGGTATTCTCAATAAAAGAGGAAAACAGGAAAAAACTTACTCATATTAGCTATAATTTAACAGCTAAGAAAAGACATTTTAAAGCCAATTTGTTTACATCTACAAAGAATCCTGGTGGTGTTTCAACTGACATGATATAAAGCCTGTAGTTTAGCCTCAGATTCAATACTCCGATCATTTTGAGTGTACTTATTCATGAACAGTAACATGGCCCTCTAGATATGTAATCTAACACATGTGCTCGCTAAGGCAAAGTATTACATTTGACAGTAAGACTTTAAAATGTACCAACAGAGGCAAGAGAACTGAAAGGCAAACAATGGAAATGGTCTAACCTGAGCTTCACGGACTTTCTGAAGCTCTGACTGAAAATCCTCCCCATTTCCATTGTCCTCATCAGTATCACTGCAGACTCCGCAGAAAAACGTAGGTGGAAGCTTTAAAGTATCTGCTTTTGCTCTCTCTTCAACTGTTGGCGTCTTTTCCCAAACAATAACACATTCCTTGTCATTATCTGAAAAACACATATAACACGAGCAAAGACACAATCAGAAACCCAACCACTCCATCATTGTCAGTCTGCAGGGTGTTCAGCACAATTTAAAGACCTCCATAAGGAGGACTACGAATGCTCATGAAGCCAGCCCATGGCTACCAAAATCCATCAGTGTTTTTCAACTAGTATTACTTTTCTCATATTTTAAATGAGCATGGTTGTATCCTATAAATAAAACTGGACATTACAGATACTATCAGAGTAAAAGTTACCTTTAAACAGTTAAGTTTTTACCCAGGTACTATGGCAAATGCCTTTAATCCCAGCAGCAGTGAAGGAGGGAGATCTCTGAATTCAAGGCCAACCTGGTCTATAAAGTGAGTCCAGGATAGCTATGGCTCTGTTACACAGAGAAATACTCTCTCCAAAACAACAAAAAGATAACACTTAAAATATTAAAATTGTATAAACAGACCTGCTACATTTTCTTCCAGTGGTTTTTCTGAGTCATCCAGATAGAGTTTTCCATTAAGTTTCTTGACAGCCATTTCAAAATCTTCATCTTCAAATGCAATTGATTATATTGAGTAAAATAATTTTAGTAGGTAGGTTTTCTTACCCACAAACCTAGATGATCTCACACACTTCCCCTCTCTATCTCATGGTCCTCAGCTCTGACAATCTGGACAATCTTTCACCTCCTACTGCTGTTACTAGTTCCCACTTGTGCTCCCCTCACGCTTATCCCTTCTTTCATTTCAACACAGGTCCTAACACGGGGTCACCCAGTCCCACATGTGATATTCTAGACCATTGCCCAAAGGATCTTACTGGACTTTGAGGACGTTATCCTTCTCCCTCTTTTATTTTGAATACTTTTGAAATTATGATTATTTCCAATTTCCTCAAAACATCTGCCTGGTTTAATATAACCATCTGTTTTTAAGAGTTTCTTTGCCGGGCGGTGGTGGCGCACGTCTTTAATCCCAGCACTTGGGAGGCAGAGGCAGGCGGATTTCTGAGTTTGAGAGTTCGAGGCCGGCCTGGTCTACAGAGTGAGTTCCAGGACAGCCAGGGCTACACAGAGAAACCCTGTCTCAAAAAACCAAACCAAACCAAAAAAAATAAAAAAGAGTTTCTTTAATGAATGCCATGCTTCTGATCATTTCATCCACTGACTATTTTATATACACAGGCTAAGGATGTTAAGTCTGTTTCAATTTTGTTTCTTTTTTTGAGATGAAGTCTCACTCTCTAACCCAAGCTAGCCTGAAACTCCCCATGAATATGAATTATTCATAAGCACCCTACCTCAGCCTATCAGGTGCTAGGATTACAGGACTGAGCCATCATGTCTAGCAAAAAGTCAGGCTTTAAATAAGTAAACTACACTGCCAATTACTAAGATTATCAATTAAAAATAAGCTTACCATCCTCCTCTTCTTCACTAACATAACCTGGCCTATTCTTATAACAAAAGAAAGTTGAAGGAAGCAGAAGTTTGTCTGCAAGGGCTTTCTGCTCAGGAGTGGGAGTGAGTTCATACACAATGAGAATATCAGTATCTGAGGGAGGATCTTCAGGTTCATTCTTCTCTTGTTCTGTAACCAAATCAAAACAACTGATAAGTCAACATAACCAGCCTAACTAAAAACACAAAGAACATGAAACTTATCTATGGGTTAAAACAGCACAGTGATAAGATAAAAACATACTTTGGAACAAACCAAGTTCTATAATGATCATAAATTTGAATTAGAAGCCTGGTTTGGTGTTCTATTAAAACTCTTAAGAGAATACAAAGCTTTTCAAAACTAGTCATTGGAAATTACTAATTTCTTTAATCTAAAAAGTACTGCTATAATCCCACACTGTACACTAAACAGTAGTTCAGCAAAGTATCCATGCATTTAGTACTAAGAAATACCTCTGGTATTATCCAACAAAATATTAGTCCACCCATAGCCTTTATTAGTTCATACAAAGAAAGCAAACAACCTTTTTGACTCCAAAGGATAACAGGTGAGAGCAACTGTATCCATTTTTTTTTGCATACCTCCAAGTATGAAACTAGATAAAATTAAACAACCATTCTATGATGATACTTTACATATCAAGACAATTTCTGTGGCTAAAAATACATCCACTCCCACCTGATAAAAGGACAAATGTTTAGAGAAAAAGGAACCCTATACATAAAGTCTGTTCTAATATATTAAGAATCTCTGGCTTGTAGGTACTGATAAACCAGTGCCTTAAACCAGTCATGAAATATGTATATGCCAACCACTACAAGGGAAACATCCCCTAAAGCTTCCCTGTCCAATATGGTAGCCTACCTGTATGTGACTTCCTAACACATGAAAGATGTACTAAAAGTATGAGCACACACACTGGATTCAAACGAGTTGGCATAAAAAAAAATGTAAATACTGTTTTTTTTTTATCTTAATTGAGTAAAAGGTTGAAATATTTTATATACATACGTTATATTGAATAATTACTAAACTGATTCTTTTATGCTACCTATTTCTTTTAGTGTTTTATTTTCTATGTTGCTCTCAGAGTACTTTAGACACACAGATCATACTATATTTCTACTGACTGGCATTACTAAAGAGAACTGGTACTCATTTTTCTGCAAGGTCAAGATGAACTACTGGACCCTCATTGAATTATTTCCCTCATTTGCTCTTAATGGGCTTCTACAAATTCTGCATACTTATTATTCCAATCAAGAAGCAACACTTACTTTTATAAATGACCTGCATTACATAAGGAATATAAGTTATAGAATGATAGCTGTTAAAAATGAGGTCTAAATTTCAAATATAGTCTCTAAACCTTCAACAGACATTATTATATACATTCTGCTGACATCGTCTCTGAATACTGGCAAGCAGTAGTAGCTAAAGTCAACAGTTAGAAAAAAAAAAGATCTTTATTAAACAGAGTTAAAAAGAATAAAGAAAGGTTCAATGAAGCAGTAAGACAAAGACAGACAGACATTGAGCAGAGGTGAAAATGAAGCAAAGACAGCATAATATTAACACATAGATAGCATCCAGATACAAATTTAAAAGTAATATTAAAGGCTGTCACATCACCACTCAAAAAAGTATGTTTTGTAAAATGTCATTCTCTAACATGCACATTGCGTGTTAAGTACTCCAATTCATACAGCCACAGTGACTTGGCTAAGGACTACCAGCTGGTGGTCACCTCACACTGAGAATGCTAGCTCTATACCTTTGCTCTCAGGTTGTGAGGTAGGGACGCTGGTCCAAAAGGCCATTGGATTAGACTTAAAAAGGCTAAAATTAAATCCTAGGAAAATAAAGAATATTTCATTTTTTTAACATCTTATAAAACAATGAATTACTTAAAAAAATTCAGCCCTCTCATTTTACACCAATCTGGTTGTCTTACATGTTCATTTTATGCACAAGATCTCTTTCTTTGCTAATTGAATAAATGGTGGCAATACTAACTTATATAACATACATGCAACTTCTTAATAACACATGCTTCAAGTGGTTTTTAAAACGACACAACCCTGAAGAACCACCATTTGAGAGAGTCACTACTTAGGATTCAAGTGTGCGAGTCTTTACTATCCGGGGCTCTCTCACACTGCTTTATGACCCTGTCTCTCCGGCTGCTCGGTCTCCTGTGATCTGCTAGTGTGAACACTCACAAATAAGCTTATTTAGCTAAGGATTAAACCTGTTTGTTCAAATACTTTTGAATGTTTATAAACTAGTGTTTACAACACAACTTTGACTAAAATATGAAGTTTCCTATAAAGAGTCAAAGGTAAACAGTATTAAAAAAATCTACTTAACTATAAAGACTAAGTACTTACCCTTTTCTGGTGTTTTAAATGTATGATTAGTTGAAGAGTTCTCTTTCGCGAAGGCAATGAGATTTCTGACTTTGCCATCAGAAGATTGCTTGATGTCAGAGTTCTGTGACAGCTCACATTTGTCAGGTTCTACCTTTCCTTCGGAGCCACTCTGGACTATTGAAGTAATTTCACTATTGGTATTTTTCAAAGGTGCATTAAAACTAAATCCAAACAAAGAACCAGTGGCTGAACTGTTGCCAAATGCAAATGGCTTTGATTTTTCACTACCAAAAATGCTTTTAACAGATTCTGAGCCAAATACAAATTTAGGAGGAGAAACTACTGCTTTCGGTGTTGTTTCAGAAGTGCTAGATGTTTCTCCAGCTTCTGAAGTTGTATCTATTACCTCATCTCCCTGAGTTAAATCTGTCCTTTCTCTAGTGGTTTCTTCTAAAACAGCAATAGCAATTTTGCCACATGGTGACTCTCTAGGGGTGCTCAGATGAGAAACATGAGGTATTATTAACGAATCTTTTTCTTGGGCTGTTTTTGCTTCATCAAAAATTTTCTTAAATGAGTCTGCAACATCCTGTAGTTTAAAACGAACAGCCAAATGTTCTATTTTTCTTTCTCCATCAGCAAAATCACATGCAGTCCACACCCACACTCTTTCAGTCCCTTTCATAGTTTGCAAAGTCATATCTGGAGTTATTCTGTGATTGGCACAGAGCTTTAATACCTGATCCCTTCTCATCACTATGCGGACTTGTTTATTATCGTAATTCTGTAAGATCTTTATATCTCCAATGCCTCTTTCTTTCCACTGACCGACATCTTTATCATATCTGTAGAGTTTTGCTCTATGACTAAAAACAACTTGTTCGTTTTCCTCACCACTGGACACTTCAACTAGATCAGGTAAGGGAACAACAGGTTCAAAGTACTGTCCATCTCTTTCTTCTTCTTGAGTAACATCAGATTCTTCATCAGTGCCAACTGAAGTTCCACTCTGGTTCAATTTGGCAGGAGACTTAGATGGACTCAGAGCAGATTTAAAACTGAAGTTAAATCCCGTAGTTGACTCACCAAAGCGGAAGAGGTTTTTCCTCACAGGGCTGCTTGCCAATGGAGAAGCATGAACTGAGCTGCTGCTGACACTGTCATCCAAGGCATCCTCCCGTAAGTCATAGTTATCCCATTCTAAGGCAGGCCCAGTGTTATCAGGATTTTGCTTGACTGTAGTGTCTGAAGCACTGGAAGCATCTGCACCTGAACTTGTGTTCTCTTCATCAGTGACCTTTACTTGATCATTTGTCAAAAATGTTTTGAAATCTTTCAGTCCGCTCTTCATTTCCTCAGCTCTCTGTATTAATTTAGCAGCCCTGCCAGTATCTACAAGTTTATGGGGTGTCTGAAGTGGAATGTCTAAGAGAAGTCGTTGACACTCCTCAAATTTCTGCTTGAATTCTTCGGCTAGCTCTGGCGTTTTAAACTTTGCAGCTAGTTGTTCCAGTTTAGCATCACCATCTGAGAAATCACTAGCTAGCCACATCCATGCTCTATCTGAACCAGACAGAGGCTTCAGGTTCATTGTAGTGGTTATCCAATGATTGGCACAAACTTTTAGCACTTGTTCTCTTCGCATCAGCATTCTTAGTTTACCATTGACTTCATTTTTGAGAATTTTTAGGTTTCCCAAACCCCTTTCTTTCCACTGACTTATCTCAGCATCAAATCTAAATAATTTCACCCTTTGTGAATACAAAACTTTTTCATCTTCTTCTCCTGTTACTAGTTCCACCTTTTCTGGCATCTGTACCACTGGTTCAAAATGGATGTCGTCATTGTCCTCAGTCTTATAGGCATCATCATCTCTCTCAAGATCAGAAGATGTATTTGCTTTCTCAGCCACTTTGCCAGTTTGTGATGAGAATAATTTTTCTCCTGCACCTGAAAATCCCTTGAAATTAGGATCTTTCTTGCCAAATTGAAATCCTTCTCTTGAAGTTGACTTTGCAAGATCTGCAAAGGTAAAGTTGCTGCTTGTCTGACCAAAGACCACACCACTACCATTCTTCTCGCCACTAATATCATGAGCTTGGACACTAGGATCATTTTCAAGATGTTTTTCACTCTTCTTCTCTTGATTTCCCTTTTCCTGAATCCCAAATTTAAACCCATCAGCAGATACAGGAATGCAAAAACTAAATCCATCCTTGATTGACTTAAATTCTGTATTAGAAGAACCTTGAAAGGCAAAGGAAGGTGTTTTTTCTTGATCCACATGCCCAAATTTAAATTTCTGCTCTGAAATGCCAACTTTAAAATTCTTTTCTGGGAAATTACTTTTGAATTCTGTTCCCACTTGACTTCCTGCAGATTCATTTAACTGTGACTTTGAACCCACTGTGAATGCTGAAGGAGCTTCTACAATAGGCTTATGAGTTGGCTTGGAGGCATCACAAGCCACACATTTGAGGGAAGAGCTCTCATTTTGTACAGAACAAACAGCACACTCCCACTCTCCTTCCTTTTTGGGGAACAATCCTTCAAATCCACTCTTGGGAGATTTGCTTGCCTCTGAAGAGGCAGGAGCTGATACAGCAGATGAAGGCTGATTCTGCTTATTTGGACTCTGACAAGCAATACATTGAGTAGCATTGGCTTCATTTCGGACAAAACACAAGCTACAATCCCATTGTCCTTCCTTCTTGGTGAACATACCCTCAAATCCACTCCTGGGAGGCTTACTCATCTCTGAAGTACCAAACTTGAAAGAGGGAAGTGTTGGAACACCAGTAGATGAACTTGGTTTAACAGGATTCTGACAAGCGACACATTTTATAGCATTTGCTTCATTTCTCACTGAGCATGAACTACAATCCCATTGTCCTTCTTTCTTAGCAAACATGTTGTCAAATCCACTCTTGGAAGTTTTACTTGCATCTGAAGTGCCAGCCTTAAAAGCAGCAGGGGATGAGGCGGAAGACGGAGCCTGTTTTCCTGGGTTCTGACAAGCAACACATTTTGTAGCACTTCCTTCATTTCGGACTAGGCATATACCGCAATCCCACTGACCTTCTTTTTTAGAAAAAACAGATCTGAAGTCACTGTCAACAGACTTAGGAAGATCTCCTTGGCCAAATTTGAAAGAAGTTTGAACAAAGGAAGACCCATTTTTGTTAGCAGACTTTGTATTCTGGCATGCAATGCACCTAGATACAGTGGGTTCATTTCTTACTAAACAAACACTGCAATCCCAATGACCTTCTTTATTTGGAGTCAATGCAAATCGATCTTGTGCATTTTCCAGGCCAATTTTAGGAGCAAAGCCATTTTCAACTAATGGAGGGCCTAGGATCTCTTTGTTACTGGTTGGGTTGGTATTTTGGCATGATATACATTTCTTAGCAGATGCAGCATTCTTAAACGAGCAGCTGTTACAATTCCAATAAGGCCCTTCCTTCTTTACAATCTGGAATTCAAAATTCAAGTTTCCACCATCAGATTTGCAGATATCCTTGTTATCCTGAGTTGCAGGTTCTTTTACAATTCTGAGAGTATGATTTGGTGCTGTAGATGCATTTGTTCCTAAGGCTTTTAAAATGTTCTGGGCCTCTTCAAATTTACACTTAAATAGTGCTGCTTCCTCGGGAGTTTTGAATCTAATTGCAAGCTGTTCTGGTTTTGGCAATTCATCTGCATAATCAAGGGCATGCCATACAAAAGATCTATCTGAGCCAGCATTTGGTGTCAGTTTCATATCTGGGCTTATGTAATGATTAGCACAGATCTTTAATACTTGCTCTCGTCTCATCAGAAGGCGAATTTTACCAGATGTTTTATGCCTTAGTATTTTTACATTGCCTATCCCACGTTCTTTCCACTCTTTGGATTCACCATCAAAACGGAACAATTTTGCACGATTGCAAAAGAATTCTTCTTCATCTTCCTCACCAGTTTTTACTTCTATCTTGTCAGGAAGAGGTACCACAGGCTCAAAGTGAGGCCCATCATCCTCCTCATCCCCATGAGCACTTCCTCCATCTGTTTCATGACCTTTAGTTGCCAGCTCTGAAGCCGGTGCTGTAAATATGGACTTCCCTGGACCGTGAAAAGTAAACATATCATCACTTCGACGGAAACCGTAATTCTTCTGCTGATTTGGGCCCATGTTTTCTGTAAGTGCGTTTTTGCTTCCAAAACTGAATGTATTCCGAGACCCACTAGCTTGACCAGATATTGGTTTTAGTCCACTATAGCCATCTCCTTGTAAAGGTTTATCTGACGTCAGGAGACCTAAAAGACTTTCACTATTACTGTAAGCTGTTGAAGGAGGCTGTGTCACTACCTGTGGTGATGAAAATGTGAAGTCACCATCATTTGATTTGAAATTTGAGTTAAATTTAAAGGGAGTTGGCTGTGTTGTATGTGCTGGTGTTGTCAAAGGTGGCCTTATTACTTCACCCTGCATGGGCTGAACGAAATTGGATTTTCCAAATTCTATAACCTTAGATTCTGCTGACCTTGAAGCATGAGCTACAAGTGGAGGCTTTGTGAAATACCCTGGTTCTGGCAAAGGTGGATTTGTGCTTGTCTGTTGAACATTGTAATTAAAATAATCATCACCCCTGGGTGATAGAATTCCTGTTGCAGGAGACTCAAAACGCAAGGGAGGGCCATACATTTCCTGAGAGAACATACAAGCAGATGAACTTTGCACTGGTGGTGTGTGCATCTGTTGTGAATATGCATAAATATGCTGTTGGGGTGGAAGCCTATTCATGCCATAAACTGGACCCTAAAAGGAAAAAAGACCAAAATACTTTATGGATTATTTGTAAAACTATAAAAATCCACAAACAAATCAACTCTCATAAACCTCAAATTAGAGTATTATTCAGAAGAAAGCACCAATGTAGATAGCTTATTAACAGACACCAATGGTGCCACAAACAAACATACCTGTATATACATTTGATAAGATGGTACCTTAAAAATCTGTACTTATGGAGCTGGAGAGATGGCTTAGTGGTTAAGAGCACTGATTGCTCTTCCAGAGGTCCTGAGTTCAATTCCCAGCAACCACATGGTGCATGGTGGCTCACAACCATCTGTAATGAGATCTGATGCCCTCTTCTGGTGTGTCTAACACACCAGTGTACTTATATACATACAACAAATAAAATGTTTTAAAAAACAAAAAAACTGCTTTCTCATTAAAAAAAAAATCTGTACTTACAATCACTAAAAAAAATTATTTTCTTCATTCAGTAAACAATTACCAAATGATGTTAACAGTGATGATTAGTACTAAAATTCATTAAACATTTATTAATGTATCAACTAGGCTCTATTCTAAGCATTTTAACTTATTTTAGAAGCCTCAAAAACAGTATTAACTATAGTATTATTCTCAGTTAAAAATAGGTGGCCTAAGAGGTTAAAAAAATAGGTTAAAAAAAATTGCCTAAGTTCACAATAAGGAGAAGAATGGAGATCTAAATGGCCCAATGGATCCCCAGCTCTCTGTCCTGGAAGTCATAATTTTCAGTTACTGTCACAATATTCGGTTTGAGTCAATAGGATAGCAATAAATCAGCCTAGCAAAGCAAGAACATACTAGCCTTATTCCTATCAAAATAGAATAACACAAGGGCCAAAACCACCCAATCCTACTATATTTAAAATATTCTAACTGTTTCGACTTACTATTAACACAAAAATAAAATGACTAAGAAATGCCTATATCAAAGGTCACATCTCAATACTCAACTACTCCGTTCAATTTCTTTAAAAGAAACCTAAACACTTAAAATGTAAATAGTTTTAATTGTATACACTTTTCCTTTGTTACCTTTGTGGGAGTTACATTAGCTGCTGGTCTGAGAAGATACTGGGAATTATATGCAGGTGACTGACTATAATATACTGATGGGCCAGTAGTTGCAACTAAAAAAAAAAAAGAAAGAAACAGACAAACAAAAAAAAAGACAGAAAACAATGTTAAAAGTCTATTCTACAGTTTAAAATACTACTTAGACAAGAATTACAAATATATGGTAAGAATCAAAGGAAGTTTTAATTATTCTGATCTTTACATTTCTACATACTAAAGTATACCGTAAAGCAGTTAATGAATGAAGAACTCAAAAAAAAAAGGAAAGAGAAACCCATTAAATGACACAAAGAATGAAAAAATAACACTGCTATTGTCAACACGAACAAGTACTTAACAAACATGCCAGAGCAGGGCATAGTGGCACATGCCATTTGATCTCCCACACTCAAAAACGCAGGCGGATTTCTCTAAATTTCAGCTAAAACTACATAGTGAGAGATCTTCTCTCAAAAGAAAACAAGGAAAGTAAATGGTCCATCTAAGATCAGCAAAATGTAAAAGCACAAACTGCTCAACATTAGGAAAAAAGTAATCACAAAGGATTTAGAAACCAAAGTGCATCTGATAGCATAAACGTTTAAAAGAGGACTTGAAAATCTACAGAATGGCAGGGTTGCAGAGTATGATCTCAAATTACTGAGATTTTAGCTTAAATTGACCTAATACAATTTTGAAAGGGGTCTCACAATAAGCATAAGGCCAGCTACATGGCTCAGCATGTAAAGATGGCTAATACACAAACCTAGCAATATGACTTTAATTGCTAGAACATGTGTAAAGGTAGAATGTTGTCTTCTGACTTCTACAGATGCTGCAGAATGTACACACACACACACACACACACAAAGACAAATGTTTTAAATTAAAATTTAAAACAAATTAACATAAAATTTGTTCTTTGGCTTTAAGTGTACATATATACATACATACACACACACACACATACACACAAACTATATGCTCCATCTGTTCTGTGAGGTTTATCAGGAAATAAAATTACTAAAAGGTACTCATACTAATGGCAAAACTATAGTAGTATGCTTAATCTGTTTTATGAGTTTTATCAGAACTAAAAGCCAAAAGACCTTTCATACTGTATATGAAGTGAAAAACTTGAACAAGTAATTCTGAAAAAAAGCAATGAAAATTAGAAGGAAAGTAAGTACTTTTCCAAGTTTGAATCTGAAAACCTAAAAATGTCTTAAGAATAGAATGCAAGTACCACTAAATTCATTCATGTTTCATAAATTCATCCAGTGCATATCCTGAAAGTCTTTAGGTTTGTTTCTGAGACAGAGCTTTATTATACAGGCCAGGCTGGCCTCACACTTGTGATCTTCCTAGCTCAGCATCTTGAATACTAGATTACAGGCATGTTTGCCACCATACCGTGACTGGTAATTTTACGTATTTTCAGTGAATATCTATATTTTGACAACAACCTGTCATGGGTGTATGGTGTAGGATTTTTCCACTCATAATCCTGTGACAACACTCAAAAGTTTCAGGTTTTAAAGAATTTCAGAATAGAAATATCAGGAGGCACTGTACCATACTGAAAAGTTGTCTCTGATTAAGAGTGACTGACATATCCATCAGTAACTAACTGTAAAGTAAGTAATAATAGATAACCCTTTTAAAGCTATTTTCTCATCTATAAAACCAAGTTTACCAAGAGTATTTACAACCTGTTACTGTGATAAATTATCTACAAAATGTACTTTTACAAACAGCTACCCACAATAAACACTATTAATAACCTTGGCGCATTAGTGTTCACTACATAGTAAAAAAATATTCCATACCTACTTGCACATACACAAATACTCATAGTAATTATGTAAAGCAAGTATCAAGAAAAACTTATTACAGAGCCAGCTGTGGGAGTGCATGTCTAGAAGGAGGTAGGAAGAGGCAGGTAAATGAATTTCTGAGTTTTAGGCTAGCCTGGTTTACACGGTGTGTTCTAGGCCATCCAGAGCTACACAGACCCTAAATAGATACACAGACACAGACAAGACAGAAAATATAAATAAATATGACAGACAGAGACGGATAGGGTAGATAGTAAATAAATGGCAAGAGAACAACTCATTATGGGTTTTCCTGTGAATAATCATGTTTGAAAATAAGGGCTGGAGAGATAACTCAACAATTAAATGCTAGCCTCATAATCAAAATGAATGAATTAAAAATCATCAAAATAACTCAAGAGGTTTAAATTCTTATTAGGTACCTCTTAGTATATGACTATATTAGTTAACATGTCTCAATTTATGAAACATTTCACAGGTTAGCTACAATGTACATAAAAGATTTAGGTTTACTACATTTAGAGTATTAAGACTTGTTTATTCTGTTTCTGGTTGGATTTATAAAATTCCAGTATACTAAATATAGTGTTTTGGTAAACAAGTATGTAGACATATTCTAGAATGTACAAAACCACAAACAAGTTAAATTCACAAGTTACCTATTTAAATAGGGGCAAGAGGGCTGAGTTGGGGTACAGATTAGAGGTAGAACACCTATCTAGCAAGCCCAAGGCTCCAAGTTTAAGTCTTAGTACTACAAAAAAAGAAAAAGAACTGAAAAAGAGGGGTATTATTTTATTGGAATATAGGGTCTGTTTAGCTGCCAGCTCACCTGTTAGTGGAGCCCCATGGAAAGTCTGTGACCCCTGATACCCATCGGGAGCTGGCTCTTGTCCATAATGTTCTGCAGGCCAGCGATGAGGGGAGGCAGAGTTATTGCTATTTAGCTTCAATTCCTGCATTTCTTTCTATTTAAGATAAAAAAGAAGTAATGTTAAATGTTTAATTATATAATGCTAGAAACAGTCTCAGCAAACACTTGTCAATGTAAAATATTGTCAATCTAAGTGCTTGGTATCATTTAGATTATACTTTCCACTGGAAAAAGTGTACTGAGAACATGATTCCTTAATTTAATATCTGTCTACTCATTCACTTTAACTCTATTCCAAAGAACTAACACCCTAAATCTCATTCCATTTCCATTCCATTTTTACTTACATTTATCTTCATAAAATTTAATCCATCCAAAATATTACCTACTCAAAAAACTAAGACCTACAAATGAAATGTCTTTTTCTGACAAGCACTTCAAACTACCTACTCAGCGTCAAAGTTCTCCTCATACTGCTATATTCTTTTGATTATCTGGACTATTCAACACAGAAAATCATCTCTTAAAACTTACCCACATGGAAGGTAACCAACAAATTTCCAAGGTAATAGCAAATACTCAGCAGCAGCAACTGAAAGCAGTATATACTCAAAACTTATCACATATACATTCTTAGTCATACCATGTTGTTTGTAAACAATATAACCCATACTTCAAATAGATATAAACAGACAGATGAAGGAGAGGACCGAACCGATACCTGATCCAGATCAGACTCCAAAATGTTTTCCTAACAACTCTCTCTTGCCATACAAGATGGCAGAAACACTATTGCCTTCTATAAGGCTATCTTATCTGTTACTTTACTAAATGGTCAACATTCCAACACAAGAACTTACAAAACTTTCTCTTGTAACATGGGAGTTACCAATGAACTGTTTTCTTTTTTGTTTATTGAAACAAGGTTTCTCTATAAAGCCTGGTTATCCCAGAACACACTATGTTGTGTACCAAACTGGAGATCCTGACTCTACCTCCCATGTGTTAGAATTAGAACTATGTGCCACTACCACCTGGTTTTCTATTTTGCTTTTCTTAAAAAAAAAAAAAAAAAAAAAATTATATATATATAGTATCTGGGTATAAAATGACAGGTCAATTTTGAAAATAGCTTCAAAATTTTGAACACAGCATCCAACCAATTTATAACAAATGAGATCAGAAAAAAAATTAATGTATTTTCTTTCTTGATCTAGAAATGCTGCAATGGGAATGGTAGCTCACATATATAATCCCATTATGAGGGAAAGTGAGGTGAGAAAACTGTGACAAGTTTCAGTCAGGCCTTCCATACTATAAACAATGACTCAAACACAAAAACAAACAAATACAAGTGTTTCAGATATGTCCTTACCTCAAGTTTCATATTAAAAATAGTCCCCACTCATCTACCTACTCAACCCTGTCTAGACACTGCACATCCACAAATAAAAAAAACTACAAGAAATGATGGCCCATAGTTCTAAACTTGATATACAATATAATCATAACTGTTAACAGTAAAAGAACAGGGAGCCTGGGGAGATGACAGTCTGTAAAGTGCCTATTACCCAAGCATAAAGACCTGTGTTCAGACTCCAGTGCCCACGTAAAAGCTGGGCTTAGTGATGTGAACCAAAATTCCTAGCACTCAAGGTGGAGAGAGGTAATCCCCCAAAACTCACTGGCCAGTCAATCTGGCCGACTGGTGAACTGCACATTCGATGAGAATATAATAAGGTGGAAATTAATAGAAGACAACCAGAGGTAAACATCTGTGGCCTCCACATGTATGTACGCATTAAAAAAACATGTGCTAACAACTGGTTTCCACAATTCTAAAACTTTACAATATATAAATCAGACAAAAGAAAAAAACAAAATTTCCAAGAACATTAAGAACATCAAGAGTTCTGTGTAGCAGCCAGTTTTCCAGGCTCACAGACAAGGTCTCCATTACATTTCCACAGAATAATGCTGAATGACTGAAACCTATATATTGAAAGAAACTCTAATGTGTCATCATGGTTTATATAACACAAAAAATAATTGTACAAATTCAAACCCTTGTTATTTAACCAATTTTCAAAGAAAGCTGTACACTGTTGATTACACCTATCGTAATAATCACCACATAGCAAAATGTACTTAGTATATATAACAATAGGTGTAGGACTAATTTAGCTCTTAGCCAAAAGGCATGAAAAAAGATTTGTATAATTCTAAAATAAGAAAACCACTAAATGCTACACTATAATTAAGCCATTCATATAAAACATATCTAAACATGAAAATAAAATTAAGCTCAGACAACTTTTCAATTTCAAATGATAAATTTGACATACTTTATCAACAGACACACTGAGAAATCAATCAACACAAAATGGTATGATAGTGCTTAGTAGTATAAGTTACTCATTTGGGGATAACAGGAATCAAATTACATTTTAGATAACAAGTTTTATCTTAAAAGACTCACATCTCATGTGGAGATAAGACATATTATAAGTAATTTAGAAAATATGGTTAAGAGTCAAGAGAAACTGATTCTATAAACTACACTAAGGGCACACTTTGATCAACTGTAAGAAAGTAAAGTAATAATAATCCAAAGGGGGGTTGAGGGGAAGAGCCTTTAATCTCAGCACTCAGGAGGCAGAGGCCAGCCTGGTGGGCAGAGTAAATTCCAGGGCAGCCAGGGTAAAACCATGTCTCAAAAAAAAACAAAGAAAGTAAGGAACTGGTTAGAGAAAAAATCTTAGCATGAGAGTTACACTGACCCAATCTAAATGTTACCTTAATGGCCTCTACTTGCTGGCAGATCATTTTCAGTAAAGAATTTTGATCTTCTGCCCATCGAGGTGGTGTTTTTGGAGAATACTAAACATACAAACATACACACAAATATGTTAACAGTGTTTACAGCATGTAGAAAACAATCTCATAGTACAATGATTCGTTTCTTTCCTACTTGCCTTGTAACTTTTACTTGGTGAGAGAGAATATTTGGTAGGAGATGGTGTTGAATGCTTTAACTCTGAATCAGCACTTCGCAAGCAACCATTTTTATAAAGAGTACCTCCTTCACTGTAGTCTTCAAGTTCCTGCATAACTGAGTTCAGCATCTCTTTGACAGACTCAAGGGGAACAGGTAACTGAAAAAAAAAATGCCTTCGTTTGCAAAAATAATGCTAAAATACCTTAGAAATAAAGAATCAATTTTATTAAGCTGTTCACATTTTTATTTTGTTCATTTGAGTTAGGAACTCACTTTGTAGCCCAGGGTACCCTAGACTTTTCATCCTTCCAAGTGTGAAAACTGCATGTGTGTACCACTGCGCATTTTAACAAGCATCTTATTATATGTTAAAGTTACACATATAAAAGCATTGCAGAATCTAAAGTCTAAATTGTTCCTATCACATCTGTACATCATAGTAACAAAGAAAAGTGAACTTAGGTATCTTTTCCATATGGAAGTTACACATTTTTCTCTGATACTTTGAACAGAGTGAAATACACTAGACAATATAAATCATAACCTAAGATCAGCAATACACGTTAATAAACAAGATACTCAGAAGGAGGGCTAAACAGAAAACCTCTATGAGTATGAAACTGCTGAGACACAGTCCATAGGAAATAAAGGGGGAAAAAATGCTGATTTCACATAACTAAAATTTAAAATTCATTAAGAACTAGTCCTCAAGTTATCATATTCATTTTGATTACATGCAAAAATGACAAAACTGTCTATCTTAGAAATCGGTATATACTTAGATACCAAAGTTGTTGTGTAGGGTGTGTTTGCGCACGTATACACACAAGTGTGCAGGCAAGCTAGATATTTTACACATGTATGGCAGGAATGTGCACGTGTGTGCATGTGGAAGCCAGAGGTTGATATCAAGTATTTTCCTTGATCACTTGACCTCCACCTTACATATGGAACCATGGACTCTGTCTGAACCTGGAGCTTCATCTAGTCTAACTAGTAAGCTTACTCAAGGGATGCCCTATCATGGCTACCTGAGTACTAGAATTATAGGTGGGTGGTCATGACCACCTGGAATTTACTTGAGTGCTGAGTGGCCAATCTTGGACCCTCACACTTGTACAATCTTCCTAATCCCAACTGCCATATTTTTGTTGTTTCAAGGTATATCAAACGTAAAAGAAAACTAAACATTTACACACATTTATGCTACGCACAGACCCCTAATAATACATCTATCATAAGTGATCCTTAGAGACTTTAAGAGATGCCTAAATATAAAATCTGGCAATTATCAACAATACTAAATGTCAGACAACAACCAGCAACTTACTTTCTGAACCACAGAAATATTTGAATCACTATCATCTAAAATCTTTATCAGGTAGTCCCTAGTCCTTCTCAGATAATTTTTGCATTCTTCTTGTTCTTCAGGAGACAAGGCATCATTTTCAATGTCTTCTGCTTTCCTGTGAAAAATCTACACAAAATACAATTAGATTTTCAAAGCAAGCAAACAAACAAACAAAACTTAGTTCAATTCTCACATCACTTACCAGTGCAAGATTCCAATAAGAAACTACATTTTTAATAGATTCAAAAGCAGTCATGGCATCTTCTATATTTCCATTAACAGCATCCAATATAGCAAAAGTTATGTGTGCATCTTCTTCATATTCACCAATTTCAGATGCCTAAACACATTTATTTAGTAATTGTTAGTTAATCTGCTTCAAACTCAAATTTCCAAAGATTATATTTTATCTGAAGAAAATATATCATTATAGTCATAATTTTCATCAGCTACAAGCTCTAGAAAGCAACATTATCATAAAATAGCAACATAATTTGTTTATTTTCTGCATATAAATTACATATGCAATCAGTTCATTAGCATTCATTATTACCTGAATATCCACACTATGGAAATGTTTAAACAGGGGATCAATAGGTTCAGGAATACTATTCTTCTTTCTGATCATCTTCAACAATGGTAAAACTTTCCTCCAGTAATGAACACTTCTGCCTATGTATTCCCGCTGATCATAAAAGGAATTAAGACTGCTGCCCTAAAATAGAAAGTCAGAAGTCCACAACATTATAAATGGTTTTGAGAAACTGGGAAAACTTCCAAATCAAAATTAAGTGGAATATCAAAAGAAAAAGTTATTAATAGCCTCTATGAGAGGCAGCCCAATCTATTTTTAAGAGTTGCCATTTTTAAGGTGGGCATGGTAGCACACAACTGACTTGTAACCTGGTACTTGGGATGTACAAGCAAGCAGATTGGAGGTTCAAAGTCATCCCTTGCCACATATCAAGTTCAAGTTCGGCCTAGGCTATGTGAGACTTTGTATCACATTTCCTCTGTAACAACCCCCTGCAATAAAACCTGACACTTTTAGAAAACCAAAATCTGCCCCTAAAAGTAACACTGTCAAAAAGCTAAACAACCACAGCTACTGATATACAATACATACTATTAGTACTAGTCAACATTTTACTAATTGCTTATGTGTAAGCAATTAACTTTATTACAGAAAAACACTTTTATTTAAGCCAATGTTCTTTAAAAGTTCACATTTCAATGAACTCACTGTTTTCTGCAGACTCTGTGCCCAATGCACAAGCAGAGCAGGTTGAAGGCCGTGCTTTTCCTGGCCCCTCAGACTGTTTATTTCACGCTGAACTAGAAGTCGCAATTTTGCAGAGGTTCCAGGTCTAAAAAAGTTTAATTAAACTATTTTAAAGAAATGCAGTTCGACACTTACATATATGGTAAGTGTCACATAACAAATTAAACCCCTAGTAAAACCCAGGCCATAATCTAAAGGATTATTACTGTTTTACTACTTACAATGCCTTTCTGTGAATCAGAGTACAAACTGCATCCCACCAGGTCTTCTGTCTTTCTGTACAAAGTTGTCTGCACACAGGAAGTGGCAAACACAATGGCTGATAGGAAGTGTGGTGAGAATTACACTTCTCCTTTAATTGTAAGTGACTGGTATATATAACTCCGAGTAAGAATACCTGTTTTATTTTTAAAAAATAGTAAGTTAGAAAAACAAATTACAAACACTCAAAATATTTAATTAATTATTATCATTGCTTACTTCAAGATCTAAAATACATATCGATTCAGGTGCATTTGTTTCAAGCCTTGACGTCTCCTGAGGCAAATGGTGAAAAAGCTGTTTTAACCATTTTCGAATTGCTGGTAAAGTAGGCAGGGAATTCCATTGCAACCCAAGCCAGGTAAGGTGCTGGAGACTACCATTATGTGCTCGAACGGCACCTAAAACAGATGGGAAATAACTGCCAGGCGCGATACATTTTCTTTGGGTCTTTAGATTACAAAAATAATTTAGCAAAAAAAATGTAATTATAAACTGTTTTTTTCTGTTTCAAAACTGAGGAACAGAATAGCAAAATTTTCACATTTTTACTGAATATATTCATACTTTTACAATTTTTGTTTTTCCAAGACAGGGTTTCTCTATGTAGCCAGTCTGTCCTGAATCTCACCTATCCACCTCTAGCTCCTGAATGTTGGAATTAAAGGAGTATGCCACCATACCCAGCTTCATTTTATAAATTTTAGTAAGAAAAGGTGTAAATGAAGAAAGTTTTTCTAGGCCATCTGAGAAAATAAGGCTCAAGGAAAGTTAAAAATTAAACTTAAAAAACAAAAATTAAACAAAACTAATTTGACAAAAAATGTGTACTTTATATTATCATAATTATAAAAAAGTTTCAAAAGATTTTCCTTTCAATAAGGAGTTATTAACAATGGAATACCATTCTATTAACTTACTGTAAGCATAATAAAAAAGCATGTTTTCTTCTACTAGAAATCTAATATTGAAAAAGCTTATAAAATTCTGAAAGTAAAAAAAGTCTAACTTTCCTAGAAATTGCATTTCTAGAAATTTGCAAGAAAAAAAATCTGTCTCAGTAGTTTCATATTTATGAATCTCCAAGGAATTAATTTCAAAATACATACTATCTATTAATGAAGTTCTCTAACACATTGCCTTTTTGTGATCATCACTGCCTATCTGAAAGGATAAGGATGCTAAAAAGATCAGCAGAATGGAAAAGTGGTCCAGGTTTATAGGAAGAAATAGGTCATCTACATTGAATAAGTATAGCAAGAAAAGATTAACAGCGCTCCTGTCCAAATGGGCATTCACCCCATCAAGGTGGCTGCCACTGGGCTAAAGCTAAACAACAAAGATCAGAACAAAACAAAACAAAACCCTAGAACATAAAGCTAGATCTCACCAAGCAAGAAAAAAAAAAAGGGCAAATACAAGGAAGAAAACAATGGAGAAGATGCAAAGATAGAAGAATCTTAAATACAACTTTCATTAAAACCTGATCAAGCCGGGCGGTGGTGGCGCACGCCTTTGATCCCTACAGAGTGAGTTCCAGGACAGCCAGGGGTACACAGAGAAACCCTGTCTCAAAACACCAAACCAAAAAAAAAAAAAAAAACCTGGTTAAATGAGGCCTTTAGAGTACACCTTTAATACCAATACTTGAGCAGTCTAAGTTCAAGGCCATCATCTATGTAGCTAATTCCAGGCCAGGCAAGGCTATATATACACATAGTGAGACCCTGTTACAAAACTAGCAAAAAGATCTTGTTTCAAATTCTTAGTAGTTGCATATAATTTTAACAGTACCAAAAAAACTGTAAACGAAGTAAATGTTGAATAATACAAAGTACCTACCAAATAATATATACATAGAAATATATACATACACACTATAGGATAGAAAATTCACAAAAGAAGACATATAAATAACTATCTTGCCAGGCAGTGGTGGCACACACCTTTAATCCCAGCACTCATGAGGCAAAAAACAGGCAGATCTCTTTTTCAAGGCCAGCATGGTCTACAAAGCAAATTCTAGGAGAGCCAGGAATACATAAAATATCCTGTCTTATAGGTAAGTAGCTAGGTAGCTAGGTAGGTAAGTAGGTGGGTGAGTGGGTGGGTAGGAAGGGAGGGAGATAAATAGAAACAAACAAACATTTCAAAGAAAATGTTGTCATCTACATACACAGTCTTTAATGTCTATTTCCTGCCATAATAAACCTAGAAAGAATCCAAAATATACTATGACTGTTGAGCCTTCCTGGTAGAAATGGATTATGATGAAGAACATTTCTTTTGAAAGATGCAGCTTACCAGTATCGTATCTAGCCAAGTCATCAGGGTCTGGTGCTTGTCCATCAAGGTTTCCAATATCATCATTACCAAGAAAAGCTCTCTCTTTGTATGAATGACTAGAAAACAGAGCATCACAGAGAGCAGCCTGGCCACTTCTGTTAGCAAAAGATTCCACAACTTCCTTTAGAAAGTCTTGCTTGCCACGACTTAAGTTTAACAACATGTGCCCTGAAAAACAAATCATTTCCATCATTGTATAATGAAACACCAACTATTCACTCCTGTCTCTTAATCAGTTCATTGAGACATCCAAGAAGAAAATAACAAGGTTATCTCAGACCCCATTTTCCAACCTCCAAATCACAGCTGGTCAACAAAAATAGTACGTTATCAAAAAAAATACAGGTTTCACAGTATCTGTGTCTACATAAAGTAAAACAAACAGAAGGGGAAACAAAATGAATTTAAAATGCCAAAGGTATTATCATTTTAGATAATAAGTATAGGAACTAAGTGGACTTCTGACAACAGCCAAGACCAAGCCCTAATGCTTGATCTGATGCGCCGATAGCTAAAACTCTGATGGCTAAAACTGGGTTCTCATATTCCTGCTGTTTTTAAACAACTTTAAGGAAATACTTGTATGTAGGTTCTACTGAAATTTTTTATTCTACAAGTTAAGGATAAGAATTTGTTTTAGCCACTACTTGGATGAAATACTATTACATATTACACAATGGATGGACCACGAAAAATATGGGAAATATATAGTTACAGGGCATTTTATATCATTCCATTTAGGCTGCCCCTGCACAGCAGTGTCTCCAAGCAGTAGTGTAAACAGCATTTGGCTGCAGAAGTGTTTTGCATTCTCAAGAGGGATGCTCTAGCATCTAGATAGAGCAGTTATCTCCACTGGGAAGCAAATAAAATTAAGTAGGTTCTTATTCTAAAGGATGCAATGGTGATTTAGCTTAGTCCTATCCTAGCAAGTACAAAGTCCTAGGTTCAGTCCTCAGCCCACACCCTCTGAGGGACAAAGTGGGGGCAGATATAATGTCTTTTTGGTTTTTTTCCCTAATCTCTGCCATGCCTACCACCTTTGGAAAAGTATGAACAAAATATTAGCAAAATGTGGCAAAAATAAACCAAGTAATTATGAAGGATTATCTGAGTATACTATAAAGACTTTAACTAAAGAAGCCTAAAGAAAGTTTTGATCTTGGGATGGCAAGATGGCTCAACTTTAAGGGCACTTGCCACTAAGTCTGAGGACCTGAGTTCAATCAGAGTCCATGTGGTAAAGAGAGAATCAACTCCTAAGTGATGTACAGTATGAGTGAGTACACATATAACTCAAACATACAAATAAATAAATGTAAGAAAAAAATTTAAGTTTTTTACCATTTCAGAATTTAATCAGTTAAAATACTTTGTTACCTGACTGGCTAAGGCGATCGTGGGCCATTATTTCCAGTAGATTTTGTCCAGCTTCTCCTTTTATTAATTTAACCTTTGGTCTGGGAACCTGGCAATTTTAGAATAAAAAGAATCTAATTCAATGATACTCATATTTCCAACAGTTAGATGTTCTTTTCCATATTATTTTTTGATAATGTCCAGTTAATAATTACAGTTAATTAGAAAATGGCTGACAAGGAAAAAAATTTATGTACTCTATTAAAAAAAACAGTACAAAGAGTATTTTTATTCAGTTGTAGTAGATAGCAGAAGAATCTATTGTGTGTTCAAGGCCTGCCTGTGCTACACATGGACTTTGAAACAAATCAGGACTATGAAAAATCTTGTCAAATACCTTGACCATGGAGAAGCGGAGCATGTGCCTACCTAGAGCCGTCAGCTCTACAGACTAGCAGTGTTCACAGTACAGGAGGTATTCTTTGCACTACCAAAGGAGAATGGTAAACACCAACTGTGATGGCTTGTATATGCTTGGCTCAGGGAGTGGCACTATTAGAAGGCGTGGCCTTGTTGGAGTAGGTGTGTCACTATGGGTGCATGGTTTAAGACCCTTCTCCTAGCTGCTTCAAAGCCAGTATTCTGCAAGCAGCCTTCAGATGAAGATGTACAACTCTCAGCTCCTCCTGCACCATGCCTGCCTGGGTGCTGCCATGGTCCTGCTTTGATAATAATGGACTGAACCTCTGAACCTATAAGCCAGCCCCAATTAAATGTTGTCTTTATATGAAGAGTTCTTGGTCATGGTGTCTATGCATAGATATGAAAACGTTAACTAAGACACCAACCTAGCCACACACCCTTCATTCTACAATGGTGACCTGCCTGCAAGATACACTGATAGTGCACAAAGGTTCCAGGAATGCCCCACCAAATAACTGATCTGGCTTAAGGCCCACACCATTAGAAGAAACCTATGTCCAATGTCGCCTGGGTGACTGAGACTAAATAGGCCAATGATCTAGGGAAAAACCAAATACTACTGTTCTGCTAAAGGAATGTTGCAATAAAATGACTCCTAACAACCTTCTGCTATACTCACAGATCGTTGCATGGCTCAACTAACATCAGGGAAACTGTCTCCTGTACCAGATGGAAACAAACATAGAGACCTACAGCCAGACAATATGCAGAGAATGAAAGACCTAGGAACACTCAGCCCTAAAAAAGAAATGTTTGGATCAAATCCCTCCCCACTCAGGGCTCAGGGAACATTACAGAAGAGGCAGCAGAAAGAGTATAAGAGCCAGGATACAATGAAGGAAACTAAGGAATCAAGGCCTTCTCGATACAACAGGACTGGTGCACATATGAACTCACAGACTGTGACACCTACACAGGGCTTGTGGCCCTGTACTACATAAGGTCCTGGAGCTGAAAGTGAGTAAATAGCCCATTCCTAACCCAAAAGCTATCTCCAATTGACTGCCACTTGCAAATGAAAAAGTTCTCTCCAAGACAGTCTCACTGGAAAAACAAACCACTCTTAGGGGTATGGCCAGCAATAGGAACAAATGAATGACATCTTTGAAGGTTCTTTCTCTCATGTCAGGCAAGTTTTTTGTTTGTTTCCTTTTTCTACCTTACAGGTCCTATGCACATAATTATGGCTTTCAGTTTGGAATTTCTATGAGAATTCTAAGTGTAGTGTGAGTGTCACGACATCTATAACCTTTCTTGTGCTTTTGCTTTAGCTCTTCTTCATCTCACTTTATCATATTCCAGTTTGTGTTTATTTTACTATTTTTGTCTTAGTATTATTCCTTAGATGTCTATCTGTTTTTCTATTAAAGACAGAAAGTGTGTGGATCAAGATTAAAAGGAAGACAGGAAAGAACTGGGAGCGATGGAGGGGGAATCAGAATATATTGTATAAAAGTATTTTCAATTAAAAAAAAATCTTGTCAAAAGAAACAGAGACAGATAGAGAGGATACGAGCAGAGAGAGGAAAGGGAGAGAAAGAAGACAGGAGCAAAAGGAGAGGAGAGAGAGAGAGAGTGGGGAGAAAGAGAAGAAATACATAAAGGGAAAGGGGGAAGGGGAGAGAAAGGTAGAAAGGGAAAGAGAGACGGGAAAGGAAGGAAGAGAAAGTGGAAGGACTGAGGGGAGGCTATGTGGTCCATATATAACTTTTTGAATCAAGCTTAACCCATATTTACAATTACATCTTTAGAAGCTGGAGATGGTTCAGAGTAGTTAAGAGCAGTCGCTGTTCTTATAGAGAGAACCTGGGTTCAATGCCCACTATCCACAAGGTAGCTCACAACTGTAATTCTAGTTCCAAGAGATCCAATACCCTCATACAGACATACATGTAAGCAAGACACACACTAGTGCACATGAAATAGAATCATTAATAATAAAATAAATTTCATCTTTAATATTATGTTCACAGACATGGCGAAGCTGAAAGATCAAATGCTTCACAATGCTCTACACACAAAGAAGCCCAATGTAGACTGTCCACGAGAATGTGGCATTGACACCTGCTTCACCTGTCTAACCAATGCCTTCACCTTGCTATAATTGTTCCTCAGACTAACTTTTCTCTTAATTTTAACACAATATTTATTCACATATTTTTTATACACTATGAAATACTTCTATGAGAAACACAATAGTCTTTCTGAAATGATAACTGCACCTGAAACTGGAAACGGCTTACCTGAAATGCTACGAGATAGCATAATGCAGCCAGCTCAGAAAGAGCTCGCCACTGGATGTCACTCTGCTGACCCATCTTCAAAAGCAGAGAGCCAACATGCATGTAAAAATGTCCTTTCGTTTCTAGGAAAGTAGCTGATAGCTCATCATTTCCACCCACAGAAGATTTCACAGACTGAAGAGCACTATCAAAACTGTAAAATTAAAAGAGTAAACAGGTACTCCACACCTACAACAATGTGACTAATCAGTTTCATTATTTAATTCAAAATAAAATTACTAAGACCTATGTCTTCCTCATTCACACTTCACAGATGAAGCACCCTAGTGGATAATCAAACATTAAAGAGATAGGGGGAATTTTCATCCAGTAGTTAATACTTCACTCTTAAAAGCACTCTACAAAGATATCCTACACCAAAAGAGCTATTAGTCACAACAAAAAGATACAAATCAAATTATTGATAAAATGTGAGTATCTAATACTAAATGAGGATAAGACATAGTTCAGAAATTTTTCTATTTTATATTTTAATTAGCATTTTTAAAATCTAGTGATCAATCCCTATAAGTCCCACACTGTGTGAAGGATTATTTTAAAGCAGCTTATCTCAAGAAATGAGAATGACAGACTTTCTACCAAATAAGATCTAAGGATTTCTAGGGGTTCTCCAAGACTTCTTAGGGGATTCTCTGAGGTTAAATCTATTTGTGTAGTAATACTAAGAAACAAGAAATGTTTTGTCCTTTATATTCATTTTCCCACATGTATAAACGGATTTTCAGAGATTTAAATATAAAACATACAGAGTAACATAGTTGAGAATCTAGACTAAGACAATTCAATTAAGACAATTAAGACAGATGTTATATAACCAAAATGTGTAACAATGTCTTATTTTCTCACAACTGTGTTGTTTAAGAAATCTTTTAACTTTTAGGATATTTCTCTGTATATCCCTGGCTGTCCTGGAACTCACTCTCTGGACCAGGCTGGCCTCGAACTCAAGAGATCTGCCTATCTCTGTTTCCTGAGTGCTGGGATTGAAGGCATCCAAATTTTAACACCATGGTCCAGCCAATCCTTTATTTTCAAAGTCAAATAGTGGCCCATAAACTCCTATCAGGCCCTGTCCTTCTACAAACACAAAGTGATGTTTTTGTAATATGAAATTTGGTTCAAAAAAAAAAAAAAAAAAGAAGTGGGTTAGGGGAACATAAAAACTTATTTGTTATATTTGAATTACTTTGTTCCTAAGCCAAAACAGTGTTTTCCAAAATAATAGTGATGCTAAATGCTTATACTAGCAAATATGAACCTGGCCACTGAATGACAAAGAACTTTCTTACATGATTTTTATTCAAAATTACATTAAAAATAAAATGACAGCCAGAACATTCATTTTGATGTGCATGCCAAAATTAAATATTAAACTGTGAGGCTAATTTTAAAAGATGGACTTTATAGGCAAGACTGAAGAATTCATTCCCTGGGACGCAGAAAATGGAAGAACAGAACTAACTCCTCTAAGTTATCCTCTGACCTCCATACCTGCCCCATGGCATGTGACACCACATACATAAAAGAATGTAACTTAAAAATTACAAAAAATAATTCTCTAAAAATAAGTTGTATATAATTATATAAAATTCCCATAACAGCAAAAGTAATTTTCCTCCGAGTGTTTTCTTGTATAAACTGTAGATAAATTAGAGGAATGCTAATGTAAAGAAACCTAGACCAATTACTGCAAAAAAGAAAATCTGTAATTTGTTAAGTGTGTGCCTGTGCAAACTCTCAACATCAACATACCTTTCCAGTAGCTCTCTACTTTCCTGCACATCTCTGGTGGAGAGTGTAAGCAGCATAAGGTTAGCATAGGCTAGAAGTAAGTCTTTATTGGTTGCTCTCCAAGTACTTTTATCAGAATCCAAACACTGCAGAGACTCCAGATATTCCTATTTTTTAAGGAAAACACAGTTAAGTTACAAAACTTCAGTAGATTTTTGAAAATTTGACCATTTTATGCCTACAAACTCCTTGGCCCATTCTTATTAGAACTGTACAAAACTGAATGTTTTTATACTAGACTTATAAATAAAAATACCAAATACACAGACAAAAACGCACACCAAACTTATTTTCCCAATTTATCCATTTAAATTGAGCTTGGCAAAAGTTTCATTTTACAGTTGTGCTATATCAATGAAAGAAATGTGTTAGGACATTGTAGAGAAACAGCTTTCACCTACCTTAAGTGTCTGTACAACACATGAATTCCACTCTAGACTTGACCGTAAAGCAGTGTTCCTGTCTGCCTCGTGGCAGTGGGCCACAGCATCCTTCAATCTTTTATTTGAACGATAAAGCTCTACCAGTCGGATATTTACGTGAACATCATCAGGCCTTGCATAAAGTTCTGACTGAATCAAGTCAAACAGTTTATTCCATCCATCTTCACCTTTACAATCTAAAAGTTGCTCCTATTGGGGAGAAAGGTCATTAAATGTTGAGTAATACCTAAGTTTCCTCTGCTTCCCAAGTGCTGGGACTAAAGGCATGCACTATCACGACAGGCTAGAACACATTTCTTTATAACAGTTCTAAGCTTTTGACCTGTAGATAATGGACAAGATTTTATTCCAGACAGAGCTTCATTTACACCTTAGCTGCAAGCATGTGCACACGCACACATGTGCGCACACACCTTACTTCCACTGATTACAAAATGATACGATCTACCACACTATTATACAATCTACCATACCAACTACACTGTACAAACTATGAAGCTCTATAATCCCCAAAACATGATTCCAGAAGAATAACTGAGATACCATCTGTAAAGTTTTATGTTGCCTAGTAAGATAACACTCAGAAATGTTTTAAAGGAATTACATGAACATGCTCTTCTGTTAAGTTTGCTACTAAGAAGTATTTAAGCTTCAAAATACTAAAAGTGATTGAATCTTAGTTTTCTTATTCATACGTTTCTTGGTTTGAGGCTTTACCTTTAACTTATATATGGCAGGACTTCCTGGAAAAAGTTTGGCTGCTCTTTCAACCCAGTATTTTGCTCTTCCATCAGTCACATCATTTTTACAAAGCAATTCTGCAATCTTCAACACAAGATCTTTTTGCGTTGGGTTTAATTCCACTGAACGCTGATGTCAGAAAAAAATACATAAAATAGAAAATTTAAATTGTATATAGGTATAAGTACATAAAGTCATCAAAAGACTGTATATATTAAATATTATCTATTTTTTCAAAGATTTTTAAATTTTTTAAAATTATATGTATTTGCACATGAGCACCCACATGAATGTAGGTGCACGAAGAGGCCTAAAGAGGGTGTCAGATTCCGTAAAACTAGAATTACAGGTAGCTGAGCAGTCTCCCATGGGCGCTAAGAACCTAACTAAATACCAGAGTAGAAACAGTCTCATACTGAGCCACCTGTCCAGCCTAAAAAGTCCTATCCCTAAACAATGTTATTTTAAAGCCAGTAAGCATCTATGGTTTTTTGTGGAGTGCTGTGGTACCCCCCATAGCCCATACCTTTCAGTTTAGCACTCAGGAGGCAGAGGCAGGAGGATCTGTGAGTTCAAAGATAGCTTGGCCTACATAGCAAATTCTAGTTCAGCCAGCACTATATAAGATGCCTTCAAAAAACAAAGCCAAAACAAATCTTTGCAAAAACAAATCAAATACATTTTGCATTACTTGGGAAAACTTTAAAAGAATAAATGAAATCATTATCTCTGACCTTTTTTGGCTTTTTTTAAGTTACATTTTTATTTATTCTGTATTCCAGGGCAAACCAGTCAAGGTCACAAGACAACTCCCTCCTTTTACCTTGCAGGTTGCAGGAATCAAACTCAGGCTTAGCAGCAGGTGCCTTTAGCAGCTGGGCCATCTCACCAGTCTGGACTTAAAATTTTGCATTTTAAATATTCAAAATCTCAAGTATGTTCCAAGTTAAGCCACTTAATAGTACTGATGTTTGTTTTTACTATGTAGATAAAATGTGTATAAATTATATATTACATACCATGGGTTATTTATTACGACCCCTGTAAGGCTGCACTTTTTTCTTTTAAATGTGTACTGATTTTTAGCCTGCATGTATGTCTGTGCACTATGTATGTGTCAGAGAGACCAGAAGATGTCTGATGCCTTTGAACTGGAATTACAAAAGGCTGTGAACCATGTGGGTGCTGCAAATGAAACCCAGCTCCTCTGGAAGAGCAGCCTATGCTCTAATTGTTCCAGCCTCACATAACCTGTACTTTAACCATATAATTACCTTATAACATTCTACAGCTTTGTCTGTATTTTCTTCGACTTCATAAAGAAGACCCAAAAATCTGTGGGCTTTAGGGTCTCTCTCTTGCACATTAATATAGGTAGAAATGTATCTGTTTTAAAATAGAAAAATAACAATTTAAACATATATTGTACCTAGTATGTACATTAAAATAATTTAAAATACAAATATTTACAACTAGACTGAAATACTGACAGTGGAATACAGCCTAAACCAAGCAACCATCCAATTATTTTATTGTAGTTCAATTACTGGCTACTGTTACTTATTTAACATAGAGTTCAAAAGTATTCATTTCAAAGTAGCTAATAACCATACGGAGCTAATAACATGTTTATACATTTTACTATGTTAGTCAACATTCAGACACTTTTATCTTATGTGTCTCGAAGTGCCAGCATGTAAGTGTTTGTGCCACAATGGTGCCTGGTGCCCATGGAGATCAGAAGGTGGCACCAGATCTCCTGGAGCTCAAGTTACAGGTGTTTATAAGTCACCACTTCCTCTGCAAGAATAGCATCTGAGTACTCCTAAACACTAAGCCATCTCTCCTGGCCCTCATTTTACTACAAAGTACTACATTTGCCAAATAATTTTTCCACTACTACCTATCAGAAATGAACACATAAATTGTTTTTTCTTCCTGATCACATTTAGTAAAGCATTGAATTTTGCATAAAATAAGCAAAATGATAATAAACAAACAATAAAATTTTAAAGTGAGAATATGAAAAACACTTAAGAACAGTTTCCCAAACTAAGAGAATAGCGTCTAAACAAAAATACATTATGTTATACATAAAATTTATCGGAGATCAGTAACTAAGTGTGACATTAAAGAACTATTCTTGTAAAACCAAGGTTACAGTCTTTCTCACTACCAAGTCCCCTCTCCCTATCACTGCTTTATACTCTGTCGTTCTTTTAACTCCCACCTCTAGGCTACTCTGAGTAAGGCAATTAGAATCAGCTGGTCTCCTTGTCTTATTGACACACAGCAACGACTGAACTGTTAGGTTAGCTGTTCTCTGCTGGCATTAAGTGTTTGTTACTTATCTCCAGCTACTTGAAGCACCAGATATCTAACCAAGAAGAAATTTACAAACAGGAATGAATGATCTCTTTCACCCTACCCAACAGCAATTTTAGAAAAAGTGTTTTAAGTCAAGTAATTTCTGCACTAGATATAAACAGAAACCAGTAAGAAATACTTGTTAGAGGCTCAAACTAACAAATGTCTGAGAGCAATAAATCCCTGCTTCCAGAATACACCTGAAAGGAAAAATGTGTTCTTTAGTAGTTTTTCCTATTACAAGGATGAAAAATTAAAACATTTCCAGTATGGCACTTACTTTTTAGCAAGATCATATTCTTTAGCTTCATAGTACAGCTTTGCAAAATAGAATCCTTTCATTGACTTCTAAAAAAAAAAAAGGAACTAAGTGGTTTTACTAATTCACATTTTGAAATATTGTACAACTTTTTCAAAGTACAAAAAAAAATGCCCTAACAAGTTTAATACTAATTTTTGATATAAAAGGTAAAAAAATGCTGCCTGATGTTCTAAAAGTTAATGGTTCCCAATATTATGATTTCTATTGTAAAAAAATAAATTCAAAAATAGTTAAAACAAACATCAGAAGCTACGTTTCAAGGCATATAAAGTAGTTCATATCTGTAATCTGTAGTCCTAAGTACTCAGGAGGTAGAAGCAAAAAAAAAAAAAAAAAAAAAAATAAAAAATAAAAAAGATGAGTTCAAAGCCATCCTGAGCTAACAGACAGACTCACACAGACACAGACACACACACATACGTACATTTTGTACAGCTTTACTGGCATCACCAGAGAAGTACACAGAAACCAACTTTTCTGGGGAAACATATATGCTAGAAATTATTCCTTTCCTACCATGTGTAAGCAGCCTCCTTGGGAAAGCATTTCAGAACCATTAAGGTACTGGGAATTTCCTGGTCTATGTACTATTTTCTTTACAGAGTAGTATTTACACAAGGATGATTTGTTTTGGGTTTTTTGAGACAGGGTTTCTCTGTGTAGCCCTGGCTGTCCTGGAACTTACTCTGTGGACCAGGCTGGCCTCGAACTCAGAAATCCACCTGCCTCTGCCTCCCAAGTACTAGGATTAAAGGCACCACCACTGCTCAACTCACACAAGGATTTTAAAAGGCTAAAATAAAATTTGGTATTTTGGGCTTTTTGTTGTTGGTTTTTTTTTTTTTAAGACAGGGTCTCATTATGCAGCCTTGGCTAGCCTGGAACACAGTAAGTAGTAGAACCAGGATAGTCTCAAACTGAGAAATCAACCTGCCTATGCCTTCCAAGTGATGGAATTAGCCATATATCACACATATCACGCTTTGAGATTTTATAATCTCGATCTTTATTACCATAAACTGACAAGTCAAATACAGCTACACACAAGATTATGGTCTAGGGGTGGAGAAATGGTGGCTAAGAGTAGAACCCACATGGCAGCTCACAACTGTCTGTAACTCCAGGTTCAAGGATCCAACGCCCTCTTCTAATCTCCATGGGCACCAAACTTGCAAGTGATACATAGACTTACATGCAGGCAAATCTCTCGTACCCATGAAATTAAAAACTAAAAGTTAACAGTGGCTTTGGATACACAAGTATTTGTAGGGAAATTATGTTTTCAAGGGGGGAGACAATCTTTTTTGTGTGATCATATTTATGCAAAAGATAATTTACTTATCTTTGGGCTGTTGCTAACAGAACGGGTTCAGACATTAATGACAGCTGGTAGCTTTAGTCTGCTACCAACAAGCTGTTTCAGCAATTATCCTTCAGAAGGGGGTGGGGGTTAGGAACTAAAGTAGATAGCTCGTGTCTGAATTAATGAACCTAAACCATTATCAGAACATTCTAGCTGAATGCATCAAGGAAATACAGCACTATTTCAGCTAGTCTCCCAGTGTCCTCTCTGACTCAGTCATGACACTGCCACTGTATATCCTTAATGATAGCAATCAAAGTCTTGATTGGTTTTTGTAGGCATTTATCCTTCCCTTCAACTACAGGGTTCACTGAGGTAGGAAGACCCTGGTGGCTAGATTACAACCTCAGTGGTAGGTATTCAACATGTATTGAAGTACACATAACTCTTCATAGGCATAACTTCCTTGGGATGAATTTCATAGTTCCAATAATATAAAAATTTACTTTTCTTTCTATTACTTACTTTCCTCTATAAAGTTTGTATCCATTTGTTCTATTCAGTATTAGAATGTCTAAGAACAGCTGTCCTTTTTTTTTCATTTCTTTAATGTCTAATAACTTAGTAGGCAGAAGAGGGGGGTCACAAAAACAAGACTGATTCCTTAAGCAATGAAATTGTTTTCTTTGCTGTTTACTCTTTAGTGGTAATATGCTAAGAAAAGCTATTCTCACCTGCGAGTCATAAAATTTTCATCCCTATCTTCTTTCAGTTTCTCTAAAATTACTTTGAAATATATCAGTTATTTTTCTGAGTAGTATACACTGGAGTCTTTGTTTCTAAAAGGATATTAACCAATCATCAACTTTCAAGCAATATCTACTAAATAATCCATCCATTCAACAAACCAATCCTTTTCTCCATATTTTGGAAAGAACCAAATTTTCATGTGTAACAGAATCTGGTTCTGTTTCTCTCTCTAGCACACACTGACCTGAAATGCTACTGTAGCCCAGGCTGCAAATGAACTGGATAGCAGGTATGAGCTACTATGCCCAGCTTTTATGTATTGCAGTCTTGATTTATTAATACCTCTTTCTGCTACCCAACTTTACAAATATTTAAAGATTACATTTGAAAATTGAGCATGACATGACAATAACAAGTTATATTTTACTTTCATTTTTTTTTTTTTACAATTTATCCATTTAGCATGTCTGAATATAGGTTATATACACCACATAAATGCCTGATGCTGGAGGAAGCCAGAAATCAGTGTTATATCCCCTAGAACTCAAATTATAAGCCACCATGTGGGTACTGAGAACTAAACCGACATCTTCTGCAAGAACAGTAAGTGTTCTTAACCTCTAAGCCATCTCTCTAGTCCCTTAAACTTTTAGCTAAGTCAGACTAACTTAAATTCAGTATTATCTTTAGTTATTCAAAAACTATATTAATGGTTGGAGAGATGGCTCAGTGGTTAAGAGCACCATCTGCTCTTCCAGAGGTCCTGAGTTCGGTTCCCAGTGACCACATGGTGGCTCATGAGATCTGACGCCCTCTTCTGGTGTGTCTGAAGACAGTGGAAGTGTACTCACATACATAAGATGAATAAATCCTTTACAAAAAACCTGTATTAAATTATACAATCAATGTGTGTATGTGGCTGGAGGTGCTTTTGCAAGTTCATTTGGACAAGTAAAGGAGATATATTGCTACTATAAATTTGTAAACTATACGAACATAATATTTTTGGGAGGCAGAGGCAGGCAGATTTCTGAGTTCGAGAGTTCGAGGCTAGCCTGGTCAGAGTGAGTTCCAGGACAGCCAGGACTACACAGAGAAACCCTGTCTCGAAAAACCAAAACCAAAACAAAACAAAAAAAAAAACCACATAATATTTAAGATAGCTAGGGTTGAAGAGATTGTTCAGTGGTTAAGAGCACTCACTGCCTTCTCTTTCAAAGGATCTTGGTTTGAGTCCCAGCACCTACATGGAGGCTCACAACCATCTGCAATTCCAGTGCCAAGGGATCTGGCCTCCCTGGGCACAAGCACACACAGGATACATAGACATACATGTAGGCAGTACACCTATACACATAAAAATAAATTTAAATTTTTTTAAAGACTAAAATTAGGACTGGCAACATGGCTTCAGTGAGTAAAGGTACCTGCCATTAAGCCTAAAGACCTAAATTCCATCCCTAAACTTCACATGGTAGAACAGAACCAACTCCAGCAAACTTACCTTTAACTTCTACAAACATCAACATACACATATATATGCACGCACGCGCGCGCGCGCGCGCACACACACACACACACACACACACACACACACACACGCTATCCCCACCAAAAAAATGTAGTAAGATAATAAAAAGTATCAAGCAGAGCACTGGTAAGAACATGGAGAAATTGAAGTCTCATAAATTGACAGAAGGAATATAAGAAAGTACAGTCTCTATAGAAGAGTCTGGGGATTCCCACGAAAACAATTAACATACAGCTCAATAATTATTTTTGATATAACTCAAGGGAATTAAGAGCAAGCACACAAACGTTTTTATATCAATGTTTGTTGCATTATATGTATAAGGCAAAAGATATAAACAACCTAAGAGTCAATGAGCAAATCAACCAAAATGTGGCATACTTAAGATAATACATTATCTTATGATATTAACATAATTATCTTATAAACATATAAATATATATATAAATTTCTTATATAAATATAATTTCTTTTATAAGTATCTTACAAGTTATTTTATAATATGAAAATATTCAGCCATTAAAAAAGGAATAAGACCACCATTCCGCCCCCCAAAAAAGCTGGGCAGTGGTAGCACATGCCTTTAATCCCAGCACTTGGGAGACAGAGGCAGATGGTTCTCTTGAGTTCAAACCAGCCAGGTCTACAGTTAGTTCCAGGATAGCCAGGGCTACAGAGGAACCCCATCTGAAAAACTAATTAAAACATAATACAAGGAGTAAGATTCCCAACACCTGCAACATGGTGACCTTGAAAATATACTAAAAGTATAAGATCCTATAAACCCCGGGCTGGGCGGGGGGAGGGTGATGGGGCACGCCTTTAATCCCAGCACTTGGGAGGCAGAGGCAGGCGGATTTCTGAGTTCGAGGCCAGCCTGGTCTACAGAGTGAGTTCCAGGACAGCCAGGGCTACACAGAGAAACCCTGTCTCGAAAAAATAAAAATAAAAAAATAAATAAAAATAAAGATAAAAAAATAAAGATCCTATAAAGCTTAAAAATTAAAAATAACCAAACTCATAAATAGAAAAAGAGGTCACCAGGGGCACAGAAAAGAAGGGTCTGTGGCATTATTTCTTAATGGCTACAGAACTTGTTTGGCATAATTTAAAAAAATATATAAAAAATTTGGAAATAAGGGTTATGACTGAACAACTCACTCTGAAGGTAAATGCCACAAAAGTGAACAATGATACTAGTCAAAACAACAAATTTCTTATAGTTGTCATACTATCCAAATCAATAATAAGCAACCCAACCAACCTTAGATAAAGTTATATTTTTAAAAAATATTTGGGTAGCAGGATGTGGCGGCACAATCCCCGAACTCGGGAAGAAAAGGCAGGTGGATTTCTGTGAGTTTGTGGCCAGCCTGGTCTACACAGTGAGTTTCAGAACATAATAGAAACCCTGTCTCAAAACAAAGAAAAACAACTCAAAAGTTGGATTTGAATACGTAGAGACTTTGAAATGGTTCCTAACATAGTTTAACAACTATTTACACTTTCACATAGTATTAGATACTATTAGTTGAGTACGCTTTATCTAAAATGCTTGGCATTTTTAGATTACAAGATCTTGTTTTTTAAGTGTTTGTTTTTTAGATTTTTAAATATCTTCAAGCATGATAGATATCCTGATGACAAGACCCAAGTCTAAATATAAACACATTTGTCTAATGTACATCTTATAGACAGAAACCTGAAAGCATTTCATATGATAATTTTTGTACCCTGGCATTTTGATTTTGGATCGGCCGAAACCAGGTGTAAAATTTCCAACTTTTGGCATACCAGCACTAAATGAACTTGAGACTTTTAAAATCGCTTTGGATTTGATTGGAGGAGAAGGTTGTAAATTTACTGGACTAGATTATTTAGCCTGTAGAAGCCATCTAAAGAAGAAACTTTAAAGTAAGTAACAAAAAAGTTATGTCATTTTACAAAGGGACTTGTAAATTTATGAACTTTGGTGTATATATAGATGACCATAAAACCCTCAGAGACAGAATTTAACAAATAATATACAACCAAATTGTGCGTTTGTATCCATAAATTGAAGCCCTGGCTCATTGTTTCTCTAGGTCTGCTCTAAATGTCTAACATGAATCATCCTTGGTGTAACAGTAACAAGATCAAAATGCCGCTTTATTGATGAAGAGTCTATACTGTACCAAATTAGTTTACCAATGGCAGAATTTGAGTGTTCAACACCCCCTCCCCCCCAAAAAAAAAACCTGACTCTAGATCCTCCGTACATCTCTCTCCACCGGCAAACACTCCTGAAGAATCCAAAATAAATACAACACACTAATGATCTTTAAAAAAACAAAAAACAAAAAACGGAACGTGTTTCGAAATAACGTTAGAAATGTTAAGGCATTGCAACTACCGCCTGGAAGGAATTCCTGACCTTCCGCCTTTAAATAAAAATCTTAGAAAAAACAAAGACTAGCAGCTTCCAAAAGAGGTTTGGGGAAGAGAGATGGTAAGAAGTGGGGCACAGCAATAGAAGACTCAAATTATGGGCCTTTCGTGTCATTTGTGCTGACGCGCCCTTACTTCGCGCCCTGGCTCGTCCGCGGAGCGACCCACACTACCGTAAAAACCCACCGCCGTGCGGCGTCAGCCTCCCTGGGAGACACGGCCGCCGTGACAGGGCCTAGCTATCCCGGAGACCGAAGACGCCTGCTGGACGAGCCCCGCAGAGCGCCCCACGCCAGCCTACGGAGCCGAGGCCGAGGAAGCCAGGCCCGAGTGGGCCTGCGGACCGCCATGAAGAGGAAACGTTGGCGGCCGCAGTCCCCACGCCTCCGGTGCTCAGCAGCGCCACGCCGCCCGCGACCGCCTCCGCTCAAGCGGGAGCCGAGGCCGCCGGGAGCCATGACGCCGGCGCACACCGCCGGCCTGGCCAGATCTGCTTACCTCTCGGGGCGACGGGGCGGAGCCCTGCACCGAGGCGATGTACCGCTCCACCTCGGCCTTGCTGCGCCTCATCGCGCCGCAGACCAGGCTCCCCGGGAGCGGCAGGCCAGCTCTGGGGCCTACAGCGGCTGCGGTCTCCAGGAGGTGAGCGCCGAACACCCGTGACGCAGCTCTGTCGCGAGCGGATGGGGACGGTGCGTGCGGCGTGCGTCATCACTGTGCGCCACGCTGCAGCCTGACGCGCAGCTCGCTGTCACCCCATCCCACTCCGCCCGCCCTTCAGACCACGTGACTGTTTCGCAACCGATTGAGAATAACTCCCCCTCCCCAAAGTTTTTATTTATTTCACTAGTGCTACGTCACAAAGTGGTTCCAAAATGGCAGTGCTGCTAACAGTGCCCTAAGAAATCCTTTTCGGTGCTGCATCTAGTCAACAGTCGATTTTCTTTTAAAGAGACAAACTTCATCATTGCCTCCGGTTTCAGTAGAATAAAGGTTAATATTGGACAGTGTCTTTCTTAGATAAATCAGAGTGTAAGTATTAGCGTTACATGAAGAGCTGCACCTTCCCGGGGTAGTTGACGATTAGGGGCAGAGAAAGGAAGTGGTGGCTTTCCTGACAAACAGAAACAGGCTTCACGAGGTTTTGAGGAATGATGACTTTAGGTTTCTGTTTGGGTAAGATTCGAAGCGGCCATTTGGACATTGTCAGCAACAGTGCCTTCTGGGGCCTGTTTTGTGACTTAACAATGAGCAGAACAGATTATATTAGAATATTAAAAGTAATGATCTCTTCGTGGTAGGGAGATGGCTCTGCGCTTGCTGCTCCTCTGAAGGCCCAAATTTCAGTTCTCAGCCGCCGGTTCCAAGGCATCTATCTAAATCCGGGTTCTGACCGCTGTAGCACATATGTCCTCATGTAGACACATTTTTTAAGTAATAGTCTCAAGATTGTGAATAAACTGTTGTTAAATGACAACTGCTGAAAAGAATCTGTGTCTGCAAAGACTGATTAAAACCACAGTGGAGAGGTTAGAGTGGTGCAGTTCCAGATGTTAAATACCTTATTGTCGGTCCCAAAACCAGGGAACGGGGGAGGAACCAGGGTTTGGAAGAAAAACTTTTTCTTAAGTCTTGGTGTTTGGGGTAAGGGGAGTCCCAAAACCAGGGAACAGGGGAGGAATCCCATCCTATGGAACAGGCAGCAGTGGCAAATTAGGCTATTGATTGGCAGGGATACTTAACCAGATGGAGTCTGTGTGGTCCATGAAGGTAGATACAAGTGGGTTTCCTGAAGCTTATAAGAATCTTTTTAAATTTATAGTAGAGATAAATTTGTTAACAGCATGAACAATCTTTAAGGTGAGCTCAGGGAAGACAAAATTTTTTTGAAACAGAAAGATCAAGAGGGTCTTTTTTCCTCTATCCAGAAGACTGAATGCACATACATTTAACATAATTTAACACTGTAAGTTTCTTTTTAAAAGAAAAAAAACTTAAAATTTTGATTTTATGACTATGATAGTTGATCATGTAGATTTAGCATGAGAACTATCTTTAGTCTATAGCTAAAAGATAATCAAAGGAAACCTAAACTTTTGAATTTGGAATTATGAAAGTGGATCATATAGTGAGATGCTTTATAAGAGTTAGGCAAAGTTATAAGAACCCCATTGATTAATATTAGGATTTTGAATTGTTGAAGTCCTAATATAACCGTGGCATAACATGGGAGAGAAATTTGAAGTATTTTTGTATCTTAAATTATTTTTTAATCACTGTCCAAGTTTTTTATATACTCCAATCTTTATATCTTGCCATTACTGACCTCAGAACGCCTTCCTAGACCCTTGGGTATTTCATATATATATATTTCTTTTTTTTTTTTTTCGAGACAGGGTTTCTCTGTGTAGCCCTGGCTGTCCTGGAACTCTCTCTGTAGACCAGGCTGGTCTCGAACTCAGAAATCCGCCTGTCTCTGCCTCCCAAGTGCTGGGATTAAAGGGGTGCGCCACCACTGCCCGGCTTTTATATATTTTTTAGATCCTCCTAACTTAAGCTTTTATATCCTCAGAACTTGCATGAAGTTTACACCTTTTTTAAATCTATTTGTTTTTCATGAAATGTAGGTGGTTGATCATTAGGGAACAGAAGAACAAAGGGAAGGTTTGGTATAAAGGTAAGGAAAAAACCTTCCGTTTTCTGGATTGTTGACAATAATTGTTCAGGTTCCTTATAATCACAGGATCAGAAATGCCATTAGGTGGCCATTTATTCTCATTATCTAGTGGGTATTGGGGCCAAGTCTGACTGCAGAGGTATACTAGTCTGGAAGCCTTTAGATCAGGCATTAGTTTTAGGGGTTTTAGGTTCTCCAGGAGGCCTCCCATTGGAGATCCTGGAGGTTAACAAAGATATAATGCCCATGGGTGAGGAAAAGGTTATTATTTTTATCATTTGCAAGAATGGGGGCACAAACTGGCTACAAGACACACGTGACAGCCAGAGACCAGGGCAGATGCCCTGAAGACACAGGCCACCCAGTACCGGGATGTGGGGGAGAAAAGGAAGGGGCTCTCCCGCAGAAAAAGAGAAATCTTGCCCAAGGGAATTGCTTCTATTGGGGGGGGGTCATCAAGAATGGCCATCAATGGAGAGAGAGAAAGACAGAGACAGAGAGAGAGAGACAGAGACAGAGAGAGACAGAGAGCTCGAATAGTCCTTACATGCTTGGCTGCTGGCTTGTACCTGGCCATTGCTAGGTTACTGTTGGGCAGAACCTAGAGAAAATGCTAATACAGGCCATGGCCGTTCAAAATTACTCCAAAGTCAACTCTTATTCCCTTTGAGGCCTGTGAGATGCTTTCCAGAGAAGCCTGGGGAGCCGAGTTGTACCCCTTGATTTCCTATAAAAGAGTAGAAAGAGAATAACATTGTTCTGGTCTCCCATGCTAGTGCTTATGGCATGGGTGCTTCAATACCTCCCCCATTGCACTTGCACACACATACAAATAATTCATCAACTTTGGGGATTTCAATGGTAAATTCTTAGTTTAAACGAGACATAAAATAACATTTTAGATTTTAGATCTTAAAAGGTCACACTTGTGTGTATACTAATGCTTTGATTATGTTGAGAAATATGAAGTATGTTAACATTTTATTTAAAAAAAATTTAAAAAAAAGTAAAAAAAAGCTGGGTGGTGGTGGCGCACACCTTTAATCCCAGCACTTGGAGGCAGAGGCAGGTGGATTTCTGAGTTCGAGGCCAGTCTGGTCTACAGAGTGAGTTCCAGGACAGACAGGGCTACACAGAGAAACCCTGTCTCCAAAAACCAAAAAAAAAAAAAAAAAACAAAATTTTTTTTTTTTTTTTTTTTTTTTTTTTTTTTTTTTTTTTACATGTTAACATTTTAATTGGGTACTTTTGAGTAATTTTATTATGTTGAAGTTTTCTATATTTCCCAATTTTTTTTCTACAACAAAGAAGCATTGCCCTTATAAAGGGGAAAAAAAAAATCACATTTTGTTTTAGACCAGCACAAGATCAAGTAATCAACATTCCAGCTTGAGGGAGGGGCCAGTGCTAGCTGAGGAATTGTCAGTGTTTAATAATGGCTGCTAGGGTGGGAGAGCCATTTTTCTTCTGGGGAGTAACCAACCCCTGGTTGGTGATCCAGTAAATAGGCGCACATATTTGCACATACAAGCTACTATAATTAAACTTCTGGCGTTAAAAAAAAAGTCAGAGCAGAAAGAGAAGGAGGGTATGCCCAGGGAGGGAGGGTATGCCGGGGGAGGGAGGGTATGCTGGCGAGGGAGGGTATGCTTGGGGAGGGAGGGTTGCTCTGAAGAAACTTTATGGGGATTAAGAAAGGAGATGAGTGATTTTGATCAAAACACATTAAATGCAAGTATGAAATGGTCAAAGAATGAATTTTAAATTATGTTTAAGTTTTTAAATAAAGACAGCTCAAAGCTCAAGGTGGTGGTGGTGGTGGTGGTGGTGGTGGTGGTGGTGGTGCATGCCTTTAATCCCAGCTCTCCTAGAGGGAAAGTCAGGCAATTCTCTGAGTTTGACACCAGCCTAGTCTACAGAGCTTCATGACATCCTGGGCTATACAGAGAAACCCTGTCTTGGAAACAAAGGGGCGGGGGAGACTCAGCAGTTAGAAGCACTTGATGGTGAGGACTGGAATTCAGATCTCGGTACCCATACCTCCTCATGCCTATAACCCCAGCTGATGTTGGGTGGGGATACGCAGAAAGATCTTGGGGATTTGCTGGCTTCCAGCCTAGCAAATTAAATCGAAGCCCCAGGTTCAGGGAGAAACACTGCCTCAAGGAAAAGGCAGAGAATGGTAGAGGAGCATCTTGTGTTCTCTTCTGGCCCCCACAAACCTAGATAGGCTCATGTACTTGTGCGTACGTGATATACTCACCCACAGAGACCAACGCACATGCACGTAAATAAAAGTTTGGGGCTGGAGAAATGATTCAGCGGTAAGGGCACTCACTCTTCTTGCAGAGGACCTGAATTTGGTTCCCACCACCTACATGTCAACTCATAACCACCCATAACTCCAATTCTAGGGAATCTGATGCTCCCTTCTGACTTCTGAGGGACCCTGCATTCGGATGGTACATATTACATACACTCAAAAACACACTAATATATAAATAGATGTATTTTTAAACACCATTTTAGAACTATATTGGATATGAATAACAGGAAAGAAAAACATAATTCTAAGATTGTGAGGACGATGAATTGCTACTAGAATCTGAGATCCTTAGTTGCCCTTATGAGATCTGTGATGGACTTGGAACTCATGAACACTGGGTGACAAGAGAAACCATGAGCTTGTTTGGGAAATGTGTTACTAACAAGAGTTATGGCTAAGAAGTAAGCTTTGGAAGGCAAATGACACTGTCAATAGGACAAAGGAGCAGCCTACAGATCGGGGAAGGATCTTCATCAACCCTACATCTGACAGAGGGCTAATATCCAAAATTTATAAAGAACTCAAGAAGTTAGACACCAACAGCCAAGATAACCCAATTAAAAATGA